AAAAATGACAAGTTTATACGAGTCGTTTGGAGGATTTCGAAGAATCGTTGAAATAGACAAAACAGTAGTCAGGAAGCGAAAATTTAACAGAGTACTTAGTATTAAGGAAGACTGGGTAAGAGGCAACTCCATAAATATACCTCACAAGTCCTTGGACTTTACGACAAGTCAGCCCAAAAGGGACACTTCCAAAGGGTCAGAAACCAATAGGCGACGACAATAATACCAATTATACAAGAGTATGTGCAGCCAGGCACAACAATCTATACAGATGATTGGAGAGCGTACAGATACCCGCATACACTTAGTTATGTACATCATGTTTTGTCCACAAGCTCCATTTTCTAGACCCTACAATCGGAGTGCACACAAACATTACTGAAGCTATGTGATCGAGGCTGAAGGAGTTTTTACAATCTAATCATTGCTCGAGAGGTCAACTATTATGGAGCCATATAAATGACTTTCTCTACCGTATGATCTACGATTTGAGAACCTCTACACCTCTTTCAAACCTTGATAAGTTTTGGAACCATGTAAAAGAAGTGTATCTACTTTAAGTCTTTGGTTTTGTATAATATATTTTTTACTTTATACTAGGTGTCCTCTGATTGGCTAGTATTTCTCAGGGTCACTTAAGATTCATTCAAAGGTCGTCCATAAATTATAGTCTCACCGGAATTGAAATCCAGAAAGGATTAGACAGATCCTTAGTATTAGTACGGAACTCCTCACCACCGTGTGCCTATAAACCCATGGGAGGTTGAACCCAGAGGATTCAGGCCTCTTAATTAACGATCCACTCTAAATCTGTTGAGTAGATATACAAAGGTTTACATGTGTAACTTTAATGTATTCGAAATATTGCATGGTCAATCTTCCAACGTTGTTAATGAGTAACTCCATTGATCACATCTTACTAAAACTCCGGAAATTATCCATCACATTTAAGTTTTCAACACTCCTTTCTCTTCTCATCATTTAGTTTTTGGTATATTGTATCGAATACTTAGTTGAATTCATGAGTCAATTAATACGGCGAGCATGGGGTCAGTAAGATATTTCCAACACAAAACCAGCATAATAGCAATGCTGCAGTCCTTAGAGAAGGAGTAGGGTTAGGAAATGCACACCACGCCTTTTCCCGAGGATATTCGTCTCCGGCGGTAAGGTCTCAACAAGTACGGAGCTAACACGAAAATTACCTGTAAAAAATGTGTGTAAGACTAACCTCAATCAGTTGTCCCTTGGGCACTGTGGTCACAGGTCACTAAGACCACCTTTAATCCAATTTTTTTCAGATACCTCCAGAGAAACCCTTCCACGGGGTGGACAACGGGGAAGTGATAACCACCTTCATACCTCTAATAGCACAGCTTCGCTCTCTGTTCTTCACTTCATTCACTACGATTCTCTGATTGTCTGTTCCAATCCACGAATGTACACAATATACATATTCAAAATATCCATTTTCGTATATAACTTATTTAATTCCATTATACATCAATGCGATTGAAGTTGGTAATTCTATACTAAGCTAGACGACATGAATATTTCAATGCCAATTATATATACAATCTTGTAGTGTCAGTCATTATTTTAAGCCCATTTATCTTATTCTAGCTTTCGGACATTCCATTCTATTCATTCTACTTGAGCCATATTTTAACCTTGTTATTTATTCGCTTATCAATCTAGACTGTTTTTATATGAGCGTATATGTTTGTGCCCTTCTTATCCTATCAATCACATGTCTGTAGCTTTATTTTGTCTGACTATAAATATTGAGTAACGCTTGATTAAAATGGAGTTGACTTCCCAGCCATCTTTCCTGTGTGTCATTTTGTTTTACTATGTTTCATTCGCTTCATATATAAAATATATGTATTCACAAATCACTGGCGAGACCCTAATTTAGGGACGAGCCAATCAGAAGCGTTTGAGCAGGTTCAAGGTCACGGGGCCAAGTTCAACACGCGATGCTAACATACGATCGGTTCACAGCAGATTTTAGAGAGGAGGTGATTAATGAGAGGTTACAACAGATGGGATGGCGAGACTCTAATTGAGGGACGAGCCAATCAGAAGCGTTTGAGCAATTTCAATCATTAGCCAATCAGAAGACAGCATAAAGTAAAAATATATTAAAAGAAAGTAAGATATTACAGTGGATATTCTTCTTTTACATTATTTAAAAACTCATGTTAGCATCCTAACCCTAATCTTGACCTCAACTAACCCTAACCGTATGTTAGCACCCTAATCCTAACCCTAAACCCTAACCTTACCCGTAAACCTAACCCTAACCCAATGGACGAGTTTCTATTCCATATGCATTATGAATTCAGAACCTCTGAACCTTAATCAAACCTTAACAAGTTTTTAAATCATGTAAAAGAAGAATATCCACTGTAATTCATTACTATCTTAGAATATTTTTTTCACTTTATACTAACTTTCTTCTGATTGGCTAATAATTGTCAAGGTCACTTAAGATTCGTTCAAAGGTCGTCCTTAATTTAGAGTCTCGCCCAATCATTTATACGATCTAAATAGGAGTCAGATCCACAGGACACTAAAAATTGTGAGCCCTTCAACGAACATTGTCCGATCTGAATGACCGCAAATAAAAGGGCCCCAATAATCTAGTTGGAATTCAATCCCAAGCCTACTAAAACGATAATCCCATGGACAATAAGATTGACGTCAAAATACACATATCACTAAACATGTTCATCATAAACATAAGTCAAAATGTTTCATTTTTGTATATTTATATTCATATATTATATATATATATATCATAGGATTATATATATATAATTGGTTACTTTCAACATACAAAGTATATGAATTTGAAAAAGCGCTAGATAGAATCAATTCAATTGTGCGTATAAACTAAGCTATAAATCACTTTTTTTTGGATAAAGAAAAAAAGGTAAGATATAAAATAATAGTAGAAGAAGACAACAATGTGATATCCATCTTCAATATTGAACTATAGATTAGATAGATAGACGGCTTAGTATCTTGGATTCAATATCTATGTCTATATCTATATATATATTGCAATACATTTTAGTAATAAGTCAACAACTTCAATGTATTCCATTACAAGTATATCCATTTGTATATGAGTAATAATAATGAAGAGTATTGAATGGAAACAAAGTGACAATTTATTGATTGAAAAATAATAATGATGTGATTTCATGTTCAATTTAATGCTTATTTATGTGATGTAATCTGTACATACATAGTTGCTATGCATATTAATATATCTATCTATCATCCATTGAATTTACTTCAGTTCAGTTCAGTTCAGTTCAGTTTAGTTTAGTTACATGAAATAAATCTATAATGGAGATATTTGTGAAAATGAATAAAGAAACAAACAAAAAGAAAAAGAAAAAATTTTTTTCTTTTATCTGTTTAATATTATAGAGATTGAAGTATCTATGTTATATATATATAGCGAGAGAGAGAGAGAGGGAGGGAGGGAGAGAGATTTTATTTAAAAGTACTGGAAAGTGCTGTTATCACAGTTGGAAATTAGTACAATTATTTATTGAATTGAAAGAAAATAAGAACAGAAATAGAGAAGAACAAACAAACAAACAAAGAAAGAAAAAACAGGCCAAACTATATATCACTATGGTATTCTACTTTATATCATACAATACATTGTAACATGTATGGTATAATAATATTACTGTATATGCATATATATATATACTCAGTTACACATACATACATACATACATACATACATGTAGTTATATACATATATATACACACATATGTATTTCTTTATTCTGATTGGATATATTTTGTGTACTCAGTTACAAATGCACACGTCAAATACATACATACATACATGTAAGTATTACATATACATAAACACACACGCGCGCACATAGAATATATATTTACGTATATCTTTATTCTGATTGGATAATAATGATAATAATAATAATAATAATAAAGAACCTATTGGCATACACAAAATATAAAAAAATTGTGTCATCAACAGAATGATAAATATCCATACACATTTATGTTGTCACATAGTAACTAATCTATTCATTTATCCATCAATTAATCAATAATAAATGCAAATGTATATGAAGAGATCATATATAAATAATTAATAATCAATAATATGAATTGTATTGATGACGTAGTAGGAGTAGGAGTAGTAGTAGTAGTGTAATAATGAGTTCTAGTTTACCTCTGTTTCTTTCTTCTATCATGTAGATCTATTTCATTCATTCATATATACATACATATATATGATCTGGATTTTATTTTTGTCTTTTTTTTTAGTGTGTGTGTGTGTGTGTACGCGTGGTTACTTACTTATTAAACATAAATTTTTTTGTAAAAAAAAAGAAAGAAAGAAATTATTAAATGGAAGACTCAACAATCACATTAACAACAAAGGGAAACAATGACATGTATAAACAAGAATGATTTATTCACTTTAGAAAAAGAAAAAGAAAAAAGAGAAAAACAAAAAAAGAAAGAAAGAGAGAACAATTTACAATTGATCTACAATAGAAAAACATTTTTTGTTATCAAGATGTATACAGTTTTGTTCTGTATTTTTGGTGTGTTTTTCTCTTTTTCTCTTTCTTTCTCTCTCTCTCTCTCGCTTGTTACTGATAGGAATGCTTTTTTTTGATTGAAAATAAAGAAAAAAAGTCTTCATTGATAATGGTAATATGATGAGGATGATGATGATGATGCCCATACATTACTTCCTTAATTCCTTACGCTTATTACTTCTCGTAGAGGAGCATAGACCTCCAGCCAATAACACCCTTCATCCAACCTTATCCTGGGCACTCATAAATTAAGGGATAATAAATATGTAGTAAATGATATACACATATGTATATATATATGTACATTAGTAGTCAAGTTGGAAATATTGATTTGATTACATAATATTACTACTTAATAATAAATCAATAAAAGTTTTTTTTTTGTTTTAATTTCTAATATTCATTTAATCGATGCATAATATAATCTGTAATTATAGTTGCATTACATTCTGGTGTATCACATAATACATGACACATATTTTCTCTTGTATTTTGTTTTCTAGCAACAAAACCAAAAATTCTAAAAAAAAAATGAAAAAAAAGAAAACGAGAATGTTACAATGAAACAATCAATATTAATGAATAATTTTCGAATTCAAGACCTTTTGGATCACATATGGGAACGTTTAACCTTTAGACGATTGAGTTACAGATAAGATTGTGGATGAGCAGTGTTGAGGAATATCATTACTTACTTACTTACTTATGCCTGTTACTCCTCGTGAAGGAGCATAGGCCGCTCACCAGCATTCTCCATCCAACCCTGTCCTGGGCAATCCTTTCTAGCTCCGTCCAGTTGTAATTCATCGTTTTCATATCTGCTTCTGTTATCCGACGCAATGTGTTCTTTGGCCTTCCTCTTTTTCGCTTCCCTTCAGGATTCCAAGTTAGGGCTTGCCTCGTGATGCAGTTTGACGATTTGCGTAATGTATGTCCTATCCATTTCCATCGTATTTTCCTAATTTCTTCTTCAGCTGGAAGTTGGTTTGTTCTCTCCCACAGAAGGCTATTACTGATGGTATCCGGCCAATGGATGTTGAGTATCTTGCGTAGACAGTTATTTATAAATACTTGTACTTTCTTGATTGTGGTTGTTGTAGTTCTCCAAGTTTCAGCTCCATACAGTAGAACTGCCTTGACGTTCGTATTGAAGATTCTTACTTTGATATTGGTTGAAAGTTGTTTTGAGTTCCATATGTTCTTCAGTTGTAGGAATGCGACCATTGCTTTGCCGATCCTCGCCTTTACGTCTGCATCGGATCCTCCTTGTTCATCGATGATGCTTCCTAGGTATGTGAAGGACTCTACATCTTCCAGAATATCATACTAGAATATAATGATTGTCCAGTGTTTCAAAGTTTTCACTGATGGTATAGTTCAGATGAACTGATGAATGTGAAAGCTATCTAGTAACATAACATACTTACTTACGCCTGTTACTCCCAATGGAGCATAAGCTGCCGACCAATATTCTCCAACCTACTCTTTCCTCGGCCTTCCTTTCCAGTTCTATCCAATTGTTCTTCATTCTTCACATGTCTATCTCCATTTCTCGGCGTGATGTGTTCTTTGGTCTTCCTCTTTTCCTTTGACTCTGAAGATTTCAAGTGAGGGCTTGTCTCGTGACACAGTTGGGTGCCTTCCTCAATGTGTGTAATCACATATGGGAACGTTTAACCTTTAGACGATTGAGTTACAGATAAGATTGTGGATGAGCAATGTTGAGGAATATCATACTAGAATATAATGATTGTCCAGTGTTTCAAGGTTTACAAAGATAGTATAGTTCAGATAGACTGGTGAATGTGAAAGCTATTAACTATCATGAATTACATACTTACACCTGTTACTCCCAATGGAGAATAGGCCACCGACCAGCATTCTCTAATCCACTCTGTCCTGGGCTTTCCTTTCTAGTTTTATCCAATTCTTGTTCATTCTTCTCATGTCTATCTACATTTCTCGGTGTAATGTGTTCTTTGAGAGGATGAAAAGTGAATATCCGACAGGTACTTTAACCGAGTTGATGGATACGGAGGATTCACGTAGGGGAGTTGAAAACCCTCGTCCCAAATAAATAGTTCAATTGACTGATGATCTCAACTATTTAAATTACTATAATATCCACAAAAACGCCTTCTGTTATTTAGTAGTTTAATTAGCTGACAAAATCGAAGTTTTGAACACTATTTTTTGTGATGGTAGTCTAGGATTCATAAATGTTAGACTTGAAGTACAGTTTAATAATAATCTGAAGAACTACATTCTATTGTTAAATATCATACATATATTTGAATGGGTTTCAATTTCAATACTTGAGCTCATGAGTTAATTAAAGCTAGACCATCATGAAAAACCTGGAAGTACTGGACGACCATTTCGTCTTAGTATGGGACTTCTCAGTGACAATGCACATCCATGATCTCGCCCGTCCGTTCGGCTTAAAGTACAGTAAAATGGTAATCTGAATATCTATATTCTATGGTTAAATATCATACATATATTTACTGTGCAATTCCTAAATATACTCTATGTTAATGATTGTTCTATATTAATTGTTGATCTAACTCCTCCTGGAGACTTTCTTGAGCTATTGTCGATCTCAAGCCCGAATAAAAGAGGAGGGTTGAGCATGAAGATAGCGACTCCATTCCGTAGAAAACTAACTCGTTAAGAAAAAACACACTAACCAAGTAACCGTTGATCTATAGTTTTAATGGTTCATATATATATATATACTTAATTAATTATGTATTTGTCATTTACTTCTATACAATAAATGACCTAATTATGCATAGATTATAATTTCTTAATTGTGCACATTATGATCTTGTTTATTGATACATATGATCATGTGAGCTTGAAGTTATACAATCTAATTCATTGAAAACAAAATACATATTGAGTAGTTTGATTGTTCTCGTGTTCTATGATGTAGGCTAAGTTGAAGAGAAAGTATTTGACAGTGTGGATAGGAGAACTTTATGGAAACTTCATTGACACTATGATGAACCTGAAAAGATCGTCAATATCATGTGGAATTCATACGAAGGACCACACGGTGTGGAGGACAGCAAACAGATACATTCCAAGTGAGGACTAGAGTCAGATAAGTCTTCTTACTCTCCATCTTCCTCTTTCTTCTGGTGGTCGACTGGATTATGAAGACCTCCACATCTGAGAGGAAACACGGAATACCATAGACAACTCAGAATCAATTAGAAGACTTGGACCTGGCTCTTCTATCCTATACACATCAACAAATGCAGGTCAAAACAGTCAGTGTAGCAGCAGTCTCTGCATCAGTAGGCTACAACATACACAAAGGAATAAGCAAGGTCCTCAAATAAAAAAACGGAAAACACCAACTCAACCACACTTGATGAAGAAACTCTGGAAGATGTAGAAACTTTCACATATATAGACAGAGTCATCGATGAACAAAGAGGATCTGATGCAGATGTGAAGGGAAGAGTTGGCAAAGCAAAGACAACACTTCTGCAATTGAAGAATATATGGAACTCAAAACAAATATCAACCAACATCAAAGTCAGAATCTTCAGTGCGAATGCCAAGACAGTTCTGCTGTACGAAGCTAAAACTTGAGGAACTACCACAACCATCATCAAGAAAGGTGCAAGTCTTTATAAACAGTTGTTGACGTAAGATATTCAATGTCCGTTGACCGAATACCATCAGCAAAAGCCTACTGTGAAAGAGAACAAACCAGCCTAAGAGGAAATTCGGAAAAGAAGTTGGAAATGGATCACGAGACAAGCGCCAACTAGGAATCCTGAAGGGAAACGGAAGAGAGGAAGACCAATGAACACGCTATGTCGGGAATCCGAAACAGACATAAAATAGATGAATAGCAACTAGAAACAACTGAAAAGGATTACCGAGAACATAGTTGGATAGAGAAACCTGGTGAGTGGTCTTTGCTCCTCCACATGGGGTAACAGGCGTAAGTAAGTAATAAGCATTAGAATATCTACATTGGTCAATTCACAGTGGATACCATTTGTCGATTATGAATATTATGTAATATTTATGTATATAACTTACAATAAAGATTTGAAGCCCATTGATCTGAGTTCAGGTGATTCCCAACTATAAAACAAGAAAAATATTGATTCACATAATAAACTTTTAGTTCTTGTTTGCTTTTAAATAAATAAACCTTTCTGATTGATTGATCAGTGTGAGTTTCACATACAGAAATGAGTAATCAGAGAGGGGTTTTGTGGATATTATAGTAATTTTAATAGTTGAATTCATGAGTCAATTGAAGCTAGACCACTATGGAAAACTTGTGAGCACTAGACGGCCATTTCGTTATGTAGGATGGGACTCCTCAGAAGTAACTCACTGATGACAATGGTGGATGGTGGAGCAACTTCGTGCATTAGTTGAAGTTAGACATTAACACCGTCAGATGCCGGCTCAGTGGTCTAGTTGGTTAAGCACCTGGCGCGAGACTGTTATTTCCTGTGTTCGAGTCCCGCGAGGCGGGACTGTGGATACATACTGCCGAGGAGTCCCATATTAGGACGAAACGACCGTCGAGTGCTTCGAGGTTTTCCATAATGGTCTAGGTTCAATCGACTCATGAGTTCAACTGTTAAAGAAATCAGTAAATTAAAAGAGGGAGGGAGGTAAGGGAGTTTTACGAACAATACAGATCGAGATAGTGTAATGAATTAATTCTTAACATAATAATAATGATTTCAATCCAGTGTGTATGTGGGGGTTGAAAGGTGGACTTTAACCCAATTTCACAATATTACCTTAACGAATTGGTTGAATTTCCAGTTGAATTATAATGAATATTTTAAGTTGTAGTTGTACTGATAGTTAGATAACGAGTTTCATGATAGTTAGGGATTCTCCCCAGATATGTCACCTTTTTTCTCTTAGAACGAGAGACCAGATAAGGTTGTCTGTGAACACTGTTCAGGAGTATAATCCTTAATAAACAATCCAACAACTATTACTTCCACTGTGTGTATGTGAATGGCTTCAAGAGAACATCCCCACATCTCAACGGTAGTGAAGTACTGATAAATTTTCGTGTTAGCGCGCGAGACCGAAGGCTCTGGGTTCGAGTCCCGTGAGTGGGGTCGTGGATGCATACTGCTGAGGACTACAACAAGTTAATACAACAACCATATAGGCTCAACCAATCATTGGATTCCCTAATTATTTTAAGGGATAGGTGATACTTTGAACCAAATGAAAGGTGCTAATAGGTACACGCTATAGATAAAGATTTAGCCTAACTTTCTGAGGAAATAGGCACAAACCACAGGGTGAAAATACCGTCTAATTTGCATATATTTTTGGTTCGATCAGCCAATTACTCTTGATTTTCTCACTCAAGGAAGTATAAAAATGAGCAGAAGGCTAAAACGACGGCGGGAGCAGGGATAAATAAACTTTGTCATTGATGTATTCCATTTTAGAAATTACTGCAAGGATCCCAAGACCCTTTGGAATGAATGTCTCTTACAAATCAACATAAGCATTTCGTTCCATTCTTAGCAATTTGAGGAATGCAACAACAAAGGACAAAAATGATAAATCATCCATTACGCTCATTGTGCTAACTATGAGAAGCACAAATATTGGACAAAGTGAACATTGCTTTCATGTACACATTCATAGACACAGAACAGTAGTGAAAAAATACAATATCTTATCACTTATATAGATTCATCCGAATAACTATAGGCACTGACGGATTCGATTCTGTGTCATCCAGCTTCACAGTCACAGATGTCAACACTAAGCTATCTGGGCCGCGACCAACCTCCTGTAGGACTAAGATGTATTTACAATTGATTGATCACTGGATGGTGATCAATGTCATGTATGTCAGGTCCTTCTTAATGCCAACGTTGAGTCACCTAGATTAGTAGCCATAGTGCAACTTGATCAATAGGATTTGATTTGCACTAAGAAGGACCTACAACAACGTAGAACCTGTAAAATGATTTCAATGATCAATAATTTCAATTTTTATAACTTTGAAAAACAATCCACCTACACTTACCATCTTTGACAAGGATCAATTGCACAAAATGATACAGAATGAAATGGATAATTTCGTCGAAAAAATAATTTTCTCCAATTATCTGTAACTGTTAATCCATCTTGTGAAACACGTATTGTTACTTCGGTTTGTCTAACCTATTTTAATGATAAACAATACTAATCAATCAATCAGTCAATCAAACCTCAACTGGGCACAGTTGAAAAGACTCTATATATGACATATGTTGCTATGGAAATGAGTGATTTATCCTAGTTTAAAATCCTCAGCAGTGTGTAACCCATGCCTTGTCTTGGACTTAACCTATGGCCTTCTCATATCTAACAGTAAACGATGTTATATCCCGACGAAAATAGTGGATGGTAATTGTTTCGACCTATTTATGGACCAACTGGATAAACTATGCATATTCATATTCCTCTTATTATAAGCTTTATTTTGACATACAGACTACTATGATACGATTTGCCGTTCTTGAGTTGTACCAAGTCTATCAATTACTATCTGCCTCATTCATAGCTATTCTTTTGGCTAGATCTTGTACAAATGTGTATTTTCTATGTTATGGTACGATATGATCTGTTTGGTTTGTAATATAAATCTAGTATGTTTGATATACATAATTCATATCGCAGAGGCTGTTTTTGGTTTTGTGGAAATAACAGGCAGGGCTAGGCACGGAGAAGGACTGATAAGGACTCTAGACTATTCGTACGGGTTTATATGTCATTAGTCCGGTCGATAATTCACTGTTCTCTAAATGTAGGTATCATTACGTTACATATTAATTAGATACAAGGCCACAAGTTATCACAAGTGGTTCAACTTGTACACCACTATTGAGTTAAGATCCAATGCTTCAGAAGTTCAGCCTCAGTTAATTTGTGAGATAGTGTGACTGTTATTCAATAGTGTTGATGACGAGTTTTATATTTCCAAAATGGATAAACTCAACCAATCACGAATTCCTACTAAATATTCACAAAATCACCTGGAAGCTAATCACTGTTTAGATTATGCTTATGGAGATCAATTTCATTTGAGAATGTTTTCCCATATCACATCCACCAGTTCTTCTCTCTTTCACCTTTGAGTTTCGGTTTACGGACCTACACACAAAATGTTAAGTCCGGGAACAATAGTCAATAGAAAAAGATAGGAAAGATAAATTTAACACAGCTGAACGAAAAGTTTAGCCAGTTTAAGCCAACCCTAAAGGAGACAATTAAGAAATCGTACAATAAATCTTTGTTACTCATAAGTAATATAAATAGAACAATTAAATTTCACAAAGAGGTTCCTAGATTATCATTCATTTTGACGATAGTAGGATTGAGAAATAAGGAATATTGAAGAACTCTTATGGTGATTGTTGACGGTTAGGCAGTGAAACATCTCATAAATAATGCATGGTTTTCAATATTTTCTAATGTAACCCCCTTTTAATGAAGAATGGTCATAGTGAAGAATATTCGGCCTAATTTCAACAATTGTCATGTTCAGAAATAAGTGCCTTCTTGAACATGAATTATAGTTTTCTAAACGATACTTATCATTAAAAATGTTGATTACTTATGAATGAATTCATGTTTAATCATTGATCATGAAGTTTAGGTGGTTTTCTTTAAGATCCTGTGTTCACAAGCACTTTATCTCACAGATTCACATTTCATTCAGAAGGGGTTTTGTGGAGATTGTAGTAATTTCAACAGTTGAGATCATGAGTCAGTTGAAACTAGACCACCATGGAAAACCTGGAAGCATTGGACGCCATGTCCACGATAGGATGAAACGGCCGTCCAGTGTTTCCAGGTTTTCCATGGTGGTCTAGTTTCAATTGACTCATGATCTCACATTTCATTGTCGAATCATATGGTCTATGTCTAGTCGTTTCTGTGACCATTGATACTGCTACTACTATCATCATTTTATGCTGATAGGATATGGCGACTTAAATCAATGTATCATATGTGCCACGTTCTACGTTTCATACAACTGAATGACCTAATAATCTATGTGTGAACCGATACGATACATGTATTCTTGTTGTATGATTGTTAAGTAGGTAAACTATTCATATTCTTGTTCCTCTTATTATAAGCTTTATTTTGACACATAGACTATTATGAAACGATTTACTGCTCCTCAGTTATGCCCCAGTCTATTCATTACAGCCTCCCACATTCACAGACACTTTTGGTTAGATCTTGTACAAATTTCGTTTCCTATTTTATGGTACGATGTGGTCTGTTTGGTTTGTATATAAACCCACTATGTTTGAAATAAGTGATTCGTGTCTTGGAGGCTGAGATTGGTGTTCTGGACTCAACGGGCAGGGCGAATCGGGGAAAAAAGTGCAGTTGGATACCTAGGCTGCTCATACAGATGTATAAGTCAGCGTACCTAAATTGGCAATTGTATTTTACCATAATCGTATAACTTGAAGATACAACAGGTTCTAATCAATAAAGCACTAATAGAAGTTTAAAATGAAGATTTAATGTCAGAATTAAGGATGATAGTTTGGGATTAACATTTCAGACTTAGGACTAGGATCCATATAGAACAATGTAGGAAATGATTGTCATCTTTAGAACTGAAAGTATCTAACCCAAGTTCTCGGCGGGGAGGATTATGCTTAGAAACAACCAATGAAATAGTGAGTTTGATCCTGTCTAATACGAATGATCTAATAGTATAATTTAAGATCAAGCAAAAAACATGTTCAATAATTGTTTTGATAGATAAATCATGTCATGGACATAAAGTTTTTCATTGTATTCAACTGGAAAAAGATCGTTCCCCATCTCTCTTTTTAAGTTAATTGTCATCAATCATCCAATGGCTTAATCAATGTCACAGATAATCAATTCAATTAAAGATTGTTTAATTACTAACAAGGACAAGATCATAATTTGTGAACGAATCAATCAGACTTAAGATAGTAGGTCTTGGATTCCGTAACAAGATCCGTTCGTCCATATGGTTAAATTAACTAATGATGAAAACCTTAACTCTAGTTCCTAAACCGTAACTTTAAACTCTAAATCTGAATCTTACTTCTTCCTATTGATTATAGTCAGTTATCATAAGTTCATGATCATCTTTATCTAGTCAATTAGTTATACGAAATGGATACAAATCTTCATTAGTTCAAGTCCCTGTACCAAGTTAGTATATCAAAAAAAAGTATAGAGATAACTCCCAGCATTGTGGAAGTAGTAACAATGTCAGTGACAATAACAGAAAATACTAAACTGGGAGCAGATAAGAGTGTCGTCTCTTTCCGAAATAGTCTCACTTACACTTATTAATTCCAATTTCTTTTAGTAGTCTGTAGAGGTTTTTTGCGTTACCTACAGCCGTCGCCTTTTCCATCTCTTTTGCTTTCGTTGCCCATCACTGCTCACGGTCGTTCCTTAACCTAGATCTGATTTGTTTTCTCTCTTCATCGTCTTCAGAGCCTGATGGGATGAGTTTACAAGAATCCAACAGTGTAATAGACTTAGAAGAAATTCATTGGTTTTTTGTAACTCTTTGGTTTAAATCACTAACAGATGTCACTGCTGTTTCCACAGCTGTTTGTATATTTTTCCAAACAACATCTGGGTCAACCTCGTTTTCAGGACTACCTAAGTGTGACCTCAGTTGTTCCTGGAACCCACTTTTGGTTTTCTCATTACTCAATTTAATCCTAATGGGTCATTTTAATGTGGCTTTTTTGCGTCCAGTGAGGCGTAAGCAGATGTGTGCCCGTATTAGAGCATGGTCGGAGTTCAAGCAGGTACTCCAGAATGATATGGTTGGGCCACGTGTTGCGTACTCCTGAACACGATCATCACGACGCGCAATGCTTACTAGTGTTAGAGATAGTTGGATAAAAGTTAGGGGTGGTCAAACCAAAACGTGGCACCAGTCCACAAAATCACTAACTTCTTGTTTGAGCCACGTTGGTAGATGCAGACTACTCGGTTGGGGTCTGCATGACCATCGTAACCAGTGGTTGGAGATTTTGTACGACATGGTTCAGAACCGATCACAATGACGTAGGGGTATACACTCTTTGTCTTAAATCGTAAGATTAAAGTTGCTTTATACTTTTCTTTCTACGAACTAATTCTTTCTTCCTGTACTATATCCTTATATGCAGTCTGTCTTTTATATATTACCACCTCTGAATTAACTACTTTTATGGATCCGATGTTGTGCTAATGAGGTGTGGCAACTTGGATCGATGCATATATGTGCCTGGTCGTACATTGTAGCTGACTGACTGTTTGAATATCTGAACTACCTGTTCCTGTCATCTAGATATTTCAGCAAGTGAACTCCCATTTTATGTTTGTTTTGATACATCATTATGTCTATTAATCATATAAACTATTCAGGTGAGTTTCTAGAAAGTGTACAAATTAACAAAAGAGTCCAATCACAGACATCATGGTGACTGTCAATATGTATGGAAAAGAATGAACACTATTCAAATGTTGATTCCTGAACTGCTAACATCTAACTAGTGATCACTCAATACTTATCTAGTCAAGATCAATCAAGAAATATGGAATGGAAACTCACGAGAATTCTATCTTGTACCAAGCATATAATGTTGAATAAAGTCATTAATGATAATAATAATAATAAATGATATAGTCATTACAAGAAATTAACTTTACCTGAGCTGCATTTTCTAAAAGGACATCAACTGCTTTACGAATTGCTGAAGAACCTGTAAGATTCTCAGTGTCAATACTTCCTAAATAGATCGATGTAAATGCTGTGTAAAGTGCCCCCCCCCCCAAAAAAAAACAAAAAAACAAAAGTAGATTTCAGGTTCTTCAAATTAGATAAAATAGTCATATTCAGTAGTAAAATATCAATAAAGAACAGTTGGTAAGACGACGTTTGAGGGACACTAAACTGACTTTGAGAGTGTTCACCTAATGAATAGGACCAAATGATGATTATAAATTAATGTGAGAAATTACGATTCTGATTAACAGGTGATGGTTAAGGTTAAGTTTTCATTACGAATTGCATCCCTATAATGCCAAAACTCTGTTTACGCAAACGGATGAATGAATTTCGCGCCAAATTCCGAGACTTGTTATCTTATACACCTGATTGGTTCGTTCATAAGTTATAGTCTCAATGAACATCTTATTATATATTTGTAAGTCAGATGAGTTTTGTGGATATTATAAAAATTTCAATGGTTAAGATCATCAGTCAGTTGAAGCTAGACCACTATGGGGAACCTGGAAGCACTGGACGGTGGTTTCGTCCTACTGCGGGACTCCTCAGCAGTGCGCATCCATGACCTCACCCACTGCGAGATTCGAACCCAGGACCTATCAGTCTCCCCCGCGAACTCTTAACTACTAGACCACTGAGCCGGCATCTGACGGTGTTAATGTCTAACTTCAACTAATCCACCAAATTGAGCGACACATCCACCATTGTCTTCAGTGAGTTCCTATCTCACAACAGACCTGGTTGAACTCCACTGGTCACTACTTCTCACTAGAACTCCACGATATAACTCTTGAAGCCAGTCACTAGTGAGCATAGGTTGATCAATATCAGATTAATATCATTCTTGATGATAAGGATTGAGTTCTGATCACTTGATCTGATTACTTCATTATCGCTATTTCAAGTAAAGATACATGGGGGCTAGTAGATAAATCTAGGACCTGCATAGTTTTGTCTTATTTACAGCACATCAGTTGGATGTATCTAGGTTAGTTTTCACATCGAGACTCGAACCTTATACCTTTCGTTTCAGATGTCTAACGTGTTATCCTTTAAGTTACTGAATGCAGACAGCCACTAATTTGTGTATAAGTTACTACACACTAGTGATGAAGAATGGTTGTAATTTCATGGCAACACTGATACGTGAAGTAGGGTTTAAACTAAATTCCTCAGTTTTTACAGCTAATGGTATCATCAATATGTTATCTTTAATCACCATGGAAATGAAGAATAGTAAGACAGTTCTTGAAAAACTAAAAAAAAATGAAAATTCAATGTTTTCAGAATGTAAATAACCGAAAAGTAAGTGCTTTATAAGCAAAAATGGATAGTGGCTAGCAGTGGAATCCAGGATGCGGATTTCGTTCTGTTTGCGACTCATCGGCTGGATGTACTTGCATCCCGGAGTTACTGATTACTTTGGGACCCGAACCCAGTAGCGTTCTCTCCAAACGCTACCGAGTTATCCACTTAGCTACTGAGTCCTGATAGGGTTCTGGGTTCGAGTCCCAGAGTGAACATCAACTCCGTGGTGGAGTCTCAAACAGATCGAAGTGCGCATCCTGGATTCCAATGCTAGCCACCATCCATCTTTGCTTATAAAGCTTCTGACCCATAGGATGCACATATGCCAACAACAAACTGATCAGTTGCAGTCGTAAATAACAATGGGAAGATCCAAGTAAACAACACCAAGTGAATGTAAAAAGTAAATGGCTTTGAAGTTTACGTTTACTTTGAGAGAAAGGGAGAACGACCAATTTCATAATTGTTTTATTAAGTGTTATGCTGAATCTATTTGTAGGGAGTTACGATACTTTATTTCCTGGAATTCTTTAATTATGGGAGTTTCGTGAAGATTTCATTTCAACTACAAATTGATGAACTTTGAGGATTTGTGTATAACACGTGGTACTAGGCACATGTTTGTCGTGTTAATTAAAGAATCCCGCAGTTGGGATGAAAAGTCTGTTGATGAGACTATGAATCTTATCCAGTAGAGATCCTTAGGACATATGATCCATATATTCAGCTAATTCTACCTTCAAGGTGCAATACTGGAGCAAGTAGGGGTAAAGTAGAAGAAAACCAGGCCAAGCTAAACTTAAACAGTGGGTCCGTACATGATGTAATTGATTATTGAACTGCTATATGGAGATTCCCTAGTCGAGATTATCACGAAAACCATGATCAGCAGTTGGAGACGTTGGTGGACTTATATGAAGGTATTTCAAAAATGAAAACGAAGGAACTTCTCTCACAAACGGAATTCTAACCGAAACCATTCAGGTCCTTTTGCAAATGAACCACTTATAAACCAGAGATTCATAATCCGATGTTGCTTGTGATATTCATTTTATTTTTGATATCGACAAAGTTCTATTTCTTACTGTATTTGACTAGACCTTCTTGGAATCCATATCAGTGAAAGACACTAGTGAAGTTTGTTTAGATTATCCATACGTTTACCCAACTTAATGACTAAATGATATAGTCGACTTAAGGTAATAATTTCTCAACAATATCTTCAGAAATCTTTCATCCAATCACCATATGCGTTAGAAACTTCTAGAAAATTCAGGTTACATGTTATACTCTGACTAGATGATGAATCCAGAACTTTCCAGAGATTAAAAGTTACCAATCAACTTATTAAAACATATGTTTCCTGTACATTAATTAACCTTCAAACAAAGCTTCTATATACATTGTGTTCTTTCTTTCCTATTCAAAATGTTTATGTAGGGGAATTCTTTGGATCCAAGAAGCGATTGCGAAGTCATTATCAAGTGTTTGAGTAGTCAACTTATCACATATACAAAGTAAGATAATTTATATTGACTTGGTATTGTTGTGTAGGACTGAAATTGATCAATCTCTAGTTGGCATATGCGCAACCTGTGCGGACCACCTGGATATAACTTTAAGTTACGAGTTTTTTAAGAAAAGATGAGTAATGAATAGTAGTGAAATCCAGGAAGCGCGTTTCTTCCTGTTTAGTACTCGTCAGCTGGATTTACCTGCATCTGAGTTGACGCCCTACCTGAGACTCGAACCTAGTACTGTTCGCTTCAAACGTCATCACGTTATCCTCAAAGCTACTGAGTCCTGACAGACATCTTTTTGTGCAACGCGGTGAAGTTTAAGACTCACAGTTCTGAGTTCGAGTCCCAGTGTGAACATCAACTTCAAGATGCAGGTACATCCGGTTGACGAGTACCGGATAGGGCAAAACGCTCATCCTGGATTCTACTGCTAGCCACTATCCATCTTTGCTTATCAGATAACTGATCTTAGAAACAAGACTTTTTGAAATGAAAATACTCGGGTTTACATGACAGAAAATCTATTTCTTCGCTTTGTAAATATATTTTTTTATACAAAAAAACCCAGTCACTGTCACATCAACCATAATAACAGATGGTCAAGATTGTCGATGTCATTTATTTCTATTCCAACTTGTTCAGAGGGAAGGAAGATAGAGGAGAGTATCATCGAAACATTCAATAGTAAAAACACTTCTAAAAAGAACTGTGTAAACATAAACGATTAGTTTATTTGTATATTCATACTACTATTAGTACTACTCATTTAACTACTGATAATTGTTTTATTGTAGAAGATATTGGAAATAAACTATACAATAGACTAATTGTTATTTGTTAAATATTAAACTAAATATACTCACTTCTTCCTGAATCTGGAGGACCTATCGGTCCTAGTTCACCTTCATATACAGCAGGAGGAGATCTAGTCGATCTAGACTTGGAACCGCTAAATGGTGTAAGAAAAGAATCTTGTCTAGTTGAATGATGTATACTCGGTTGTGAGGGATGTGTTCCTGACTGTTGGTGTTGTTGTGTTGGATTATATGATGATTCCATTTCATATGAACCTAAGTCAGTAGGTAGAGATTCTGTAGGATGTCGTACTGAAACTCCTTGGGATCTGTCCGTTCTATGAAAGTCATGAGGACTTTCACAGCCTACATATATGCAAAAAAATTACTATCACATATAGATTTAAATAAATTAACATAACTCGAGGACAAATTTCATGTCTGAGTGACATCATTTATGGATTTAGTTAAAACCAGCGAGAAATCGACATCAGTGATCATAAATAAAAATGACTCAGACCTTCCACAGAAAGATCCTAACTAGTACCCACAAATGCCCTGGTACGGCCGAGAGTGGGGAGAGTCCGCTCTCCCTCTCGAAATGCTCTCACATAGCCACGCGTATACAGCCTTTGCCAGGGAAGTCCTACTCACTGCCTTCTCGCACTGCGGGTGTTGTTTACAAAAATGAGAGGATGATAAGCGAATGTCCGGCGCCTTAACCGGATTCCAAACCAATGGTGGACATGGGCTCCAGTATCCTGCAGGAACAAATGGCGTATGAACCAATTGTTGGTTACCGGCTTCCATGGGACTGCATCTTCTTACGATGCTCCACTGCCTTGTGGATCAGACCTTCAGGTCAAAGGCTCTGGGTGTGGCCCCCTAAGATAACCACCTACATCGGTTTGGGCACCCGGGCAGTATCACAGCCCACACACATATCGAATCAGATTTGTGTGGCGCATATGTATTTGGTGCCTCCTTGTACCAATATCTATGTGTTAAAATAAATAATAAAATAAATAAATCCTAACTAGTAGGTTTCAAACATGTGCACATTGATAATGTCTCGGTTGTTTATACATGAATTAACTGGATTAAAAATGTGGAACGGTGCATCTCAATCTGATTGTTTGAATGTTTCCTACTGGCTGTAAATTTACTAATATTGGCTTATAGCAACTCACGTGCAATTGAGTTTGTTCTCATTTAATTCAGTTAAGCCCTTTAGTTGACTTATTTAGCTGACAGAGTCAACTGTACTATAACAACTTATTGTACCTTTATTATTGCTGTGCATGTATGAAATATGTATGCTTGAACATTGCTTACCGCCTAAGCATATATTCATTCTGCTAGCTTTATTATTAACGCCTTAATTGATTCGATGATCCATTCATTTCCCTATATATATACATGTACATTTACACACTACTCTCTCGGTTCGCTGACTCATTCATTTGCCTCGCTGCTTGGTGGTCTGAGTTATCTGCTAATAAAAAACTGTACTCGCTGCTTCTCTTTGCCTTCTGGTTTCGTACACCGTTGAGGATTATATGGTAACGGTCACGAGGGTGATTGGTCAGCGAAGCACAGCCACTAGAAGCTAATTGATTCTAGTAAATTTGTACGAACTTATTTCGTTGTGTAATGAAGAGAGATGAGGAGTTGTAGCTAATCAATCTATTTGACACTAAGTAGTCTATGTGATCTCATGTGCTCCATTTGAAGAAAAAAAGATTGTTTTCATTTGAGTAAAAGTACACTAAGTAGCTCAGTGAATAACATGTCAGGCGTTTGAAGTGAAAAATGTAGGAATAGAGTCCTAATGTGCACATTAAAACTAGGATACAACCACATCCAGTTGATAAGTCATAAATAGAAGAAAACGACGCGTTTACTGGGTTCCACTGCTAACTACATACTAGTTATACCGAGTCATCAGTATAAGGTTGTGGAGATTGTTGAGTTTTATTTGAGATCATGGAACGACCAATGTTAGTAGACCATTGGAAACCTGGAAGCACTGGACCGCCGTTTATTCTTAGCATGGGACTCCTGAATAGTGGAGTTCAACCGTACTAGGTGTGAGGCAGTTACTTACCGAAAACGATGCAATATCCTGAATTGATTGAAGTTAAACGTTGGAAACGATGAATACTAGATCAGTTATCTATAGGTTAGGCATTCACGCGTGGGACCGAAGGTCCTGGGTTCGCGTAGCGCATACGGGGTCGTGAATGACTACTGATGAAGAGTCCCATACTAGGACAAAACGGCAGTCCAGTGCTTCCAGATTTTCGATGGTGGTCTAACATAGATCGGTTCATGATTTCAATTATACTGAATTGTTTATGACTTGCAAAAATACGAAACAACGACTGATTTCTTCGTTATTTTACAATACTGCCAACAAGTCGATATGTGTGCACAAACTTCAGTCAATCATGTTCATAATGACTAGAAATCCATAACTAGCTTTTCAAAGTTATGACTGATAAAATTCAGCTATTTCAGCGATTGTGACAAATATTATGAATACCATTAAATGTTGATCAAGTAACATAGAGGAACTAACTGAAGCTGGAAATGCTAATCACTAGTGTAAGGGATGGCACTATGTCAAGCCTGCATAGGCTATTCTAACCTTTGGACAAATCAATCTATCCATTCTTTTCAAGCCACATTTTTACCTTATCACTTAATCGCTTATTAACCCTGACTGTTTTTATTTGAGTGTATGTTTGTTCACTACTTATCCTATTCATCATGCGTATGTAACTGATTTTTTGTTTGACTATAAATATTTGTTTCACGTTAGGGTAAACCGAGTTGCATCATACACCTTCTCCACTGCGCATCATTCCATTTCGCTTCACTCGCTTCGTTTCTCCGATTGTCTATCCAAACCACTGAGTGTATGAAGTATACGTATTCAAACTCCATTCTCGTATCTGAGTTCATTAATTCCGTTAATCACTAGCACGAGTTAAATCAGTGATTATATACGAGGTTTGCTGGCATTTTTATTTCGATAGCAATCAGCCAACAATCTATTTCAAGTCAGATCTCGGGTCACTAAACTAGTCTTTATCTATTATGATCATCATGGGATAATTGGTTCTGAAAATTTTTCCCAGATAGAATCACAAGTCAATACTGAAGAGTTGTTCAGTGCTTCTTGACTTACAATAGGTCTGAAGCTAGTTAGCAATTCATCTTTTCAGTCTTCATGAAACCTTTTTCACAAGATTGAACATGACTATAGAGAATATTGCTGGGTTTTAATAGAAACACAACTACTAAAGAACTACTAGTATTGATTAGGAAAATGTCTTGAAAGATACACCTTAGTATAATTCAGTTGTAAGAGTTTGAATATTCCCATGGTTGGTGCTAAGAAAGATTGAAATTAATTAGCTTCTTAATAGTTGAATTCATGAACCAATGGAAGCTAGATCCCTATGGAAAACTTGGAAGCACTGGACGGTCGTTTCGTCATAGTATGGGACTCCTCAGCAGTGCGCATCAACAGTCCCGCCTCGCGAGGATCGAAGCCAGGACCTATCAGTCTTGTTCATGAGCCCTTAACCACCAGACCACTGAGCTGACCGGCATCCAACGGTGTTAACGTCTAACTTCAACTAATCCACGAAATTGAGTGGCATATCCACCATTGTCATCAATGAGATACTATCTCACAACAGACCTGGTTGAACTCCATTGGTCACTGCTTCTCACTAAACCCGGGAAATACCTCTTGAAGCCAGTCACTAGTGAGCTTATCTCACGAAGTGGGATCATCGATGTGCACTGCTGAGAAGTCGCATACTAGAACGAATCAGGCATCCGTTGCTTTCAGGTTTCCATGATGATCTAGCTTCACATGACTCATGAACTTAACTATTACATTACTATAATCTTCACAAAACCCTCTTCTGTTAATTATATAACTATTGATTATAATGAGTAAACATACCTGTATGATAGGATCCAACTTGTGAAGAATATTTTGGTACTATTGAAGTTGGTGATATATGATCAGAATGTGAATTTCTTGTTAATACTATTAAAGACGGAAGACTATTGATTGAAGTAGGTAATTTAAAAGGTAATCTTAATATACATGGTAATGCTAATGGTTGAATTGTATGTTCATATAATAAACTAACTAAATTAGTAAATATTGGTTCATTTGAAGATCCACGAAGTCGAACAGGTTCATGGATTACACTTAAAGCTGATGAATCCATTGGAATATTAGATGGAGGTAATAATGTACCAGATACACCAATTGCATGATATACAGCTGATGTTGTAGATTGTAAACCTTCAATTAAATAATGTCGTATAGAATCGGATTCTTCACCTGTTTGAAATAGTAAGAAAATAGAGTAAGACTAATTAAACATATTAACCAATATATTATTAATATCAGATGGGTTTTTTGTGGAGATTGTAGTAATTTCAATGGTTAAGATCATGAGTCAGTTGAAGCTAATCATTGAAATTACTACAATCTCCACAAAAAACCCATCTGATATTAATCAAAAATATGCTCACTAGTGACTGGCTTCACGAGGTATATCCTGGAGTTCTAGTGAGAAGTAGTGACCAGTGGAGTTCAACCAGGTCTGTTGTGAGGTAGTAACTCACTGAAGACAATGGTGGATGTGTCGCTCAATTTCGTGGATTAGTTGAAGTTAGACATTAACACCGTCGGATGCCGGCTCAGTGGTCTAGTGGTTAAGTGCTCGCGCGCGAAACCAGTAGGTCCTGGGTTCGGATCTCGCAGTGAGCGAGGTCGTGGATGCACACTGCTGAGGAGTCCCACAATAGGACGAAACGGCCGTCCAGTGCTTCCAGGTTTTCCATGGTGGTCTAGCTCCAACTGACTCATGATCTTAACCATTGAAACAATATATTATTACTGAAAACTAGGGAACACTGAACAGCTATGTTGATCTAGTATGGTATGCTCCAACAGTGATCAACTACGCAAGACTATCGGTTCGGCAGTGAGCATTTAAGCATTAGATAAATGAGACAACATTCAATAATTTACATGTTTAACTTCAATCAACCTGTTATATTGTGTAGACAACTTTCGATACTACTGATGAGTAATTAGTTCACACTCACCATGGTCGATCTTCCATTGGTCACGACTTTCACCTTATGACTTAGGGGACTCACTCTCGAAATAAGTCAGTAGTGGATATAGTGTAAGTAAGTATTTTTCTCTTAGAATTCAAATATGGCTACCTCATAGAAACAATGTTGACTAATAATTACTTAGATGAGTATTTAGGTGAACCAATAGAGAGAAGAAGGTACTATACAACTGTTTCGTTCTAACTCAAAACCCTTTAATGATATACATTCACCTACCCGCACCTATTGTCTTGAACCTATGACTTGCAAGTCATTCAGTCAGTATAATGACTTTATGTTACTTAGGTCCGTCCAATCTTTTGTGAGGTACTGGGTAAGTATGAGCCACTTGGTGAATAAATAACTCCAAGCATTTCAGTCTTACATAAGTATAGTGTTTGTATGAACTAACGATTCCTTTGTACTTGTTGATTGCTTGATTTGGAATTACAAATACAGTACATTCGTTCATGATTATCTAGTATTTCTTGATCCAATCGCGTTATTTCTGGGATTCCTAGTTTGTACTATAATTCAAATACTCCTAATTATCATAATAAAGTCACTCGCTGCTCAAGTAACTTAGTGACAACTTCTCAAACTGTGAAGCTAGACCACACGAGTTCTCCTAGGAGCATCAGTTCTCTCAAGATTACATGTAAACCCCACTGACGAGTGTCAAATAGCACAAAACCTCAATCCACAGTTTCCTATCGATCATCTTCAACCGTTTACTATAAGAAATATATAACAGACACTCATTTTCTTCCTGGCTTCATTAGAATGGCTATTCTAGCAATCTGATTAAAAAGTGTCTAGCGATTCAATATACCATTAAATAGGAAAAAAACAGATTATTCTACCATACATGAAGAATAACATTGTGAAACATTTTGAAATCAACGCAAGTAAGATAACAGTGATTGAAGACAAATGAAGATGTCATTTATTCAATGAATAGCACCATCAGCGAGAAACATCACATTGGACAAAGTGGACACATTCATTCACACATAACATAAGATACCAATGAGGAGACATGATATGTTATCAATGATAACAATCTACATGGAAAATTCGATTAAAGAAACTGTCTAATTCTGAATAGAGGAGAATTTCTAGAAGGATGATATTGAAACATTTATGTTCATAATATGTGTTTTTGTATAGTCCGTCAGGACTCATTAGCTAAGCGTATAGCGTGATGGCTTTTAAAGTGGAAGGTACTGAGTTTGATTCTCGAAGTGAACATCAATTCCAAGATTCAGGTATATACAACTGACGAGTCCCGAATAGGACGAAACATGCGTCTTGTATTCCACTGCTAGCCACTATCCAACCATATTTGCAATATCGAGGCAATCCACAAAACATCCACATCTTTCAATAAGAGTCTGATCAACTGTAGTCCTAAACATCAATGTGAAGATTTAAACAAACAATACAAAATGGATTTATTGAATAATTTAAAATAATAAACTAACCATGAGTATGATGTCTGTGAACTTTAACTACCAGTCCAAATGAATGTGGAAAGCTTCCACTATTACGAACTACAAATGTTCCAGGAGCTTCTGATCTGATTAAGTCCATTGCTGTAAACAATAAATTGAATATATAACTAATGAAATATATAGAAGAGATTTGTTAGCATTTTTCTATATCAATCATTATCAGTGAGGTTATCAACAAAAAGTAATGTAAATTGTATAGCAGTTTTCTCCTACCACAGAAATCGTCTTCAGTATGAACTTACAATCATACCAAAAGCCGAAATCGTCATCTGTATGTCTTGTATCGAACACCTAACCGTTTACTTAAGAGGTTAGCATTCGGTGCTACACACCGCTTACTGCAATTCGGAATACATCATAACGATTATCTGATAACATTGATAGAAAAAGTCAGTATGGCAATGTTATGCACGAAATTTCTAATTTTCAGTCCTACTCCAACTGATATCAGTAGGTGATAAATGTCACGTACAGTTTATATAAACCATCAGCCACAAAACATATTCAGTGAAAATCAAAGTATAGTTTAAATTTTGTACACAATAACAGGACTTCTTTTCTAAAAAAGAATGTTGAATTATTCGGTTTGAAGTTGACTTTCATTGTTCGTCGTGAGTACAGATCATCTTGACTACTTACTTGAAATTTAGTGGTATACATTTCCAATTTCAATCGATTCGTGATATGAATGCAACTGTGGTGTGTGCTACCGATGTCGACAGATACAATTAGTATATATCATCAATAGAAAATGAAATGCCTGGAGGCAGAAGGTTAAGATGATCGAAGAAGAGAACGAGAACAGAGAATGATTGATGTGGAAGCGAGGGAAGAATGAAGTATTAGCCGATTGATTGGCATTTTACAAATGAAGTGTTGAATATGTAGTGACCTACTTTTATCAAGAGAATGCGATTGGTTTAATGGAAACAATTATTATTATAACCAATTGTACCAGTGATTGTTTTACTGACATCCATTATTCTTCCATTCTCCCTTCCGTTGATTGTGACCTCACACGAACTTACGTTTGCTCAGTAAATCCGCTTGTACTTCTTTGGTATGATCTCGGTATTCTTTCGACATCACGAGATCATCAACAAATGTACTTAGCTACAACCTTCAATTACCTACTGATATTTGGTACGCAACCTTCCTGTAGTGATGATCATAGTCAATTGCGACTCGACGCCACCCTACAAATGTATGGTTCTCAGATTCTAGTAAGAGATAATGTAATTTTGTATTCAATTACATCCGACTATCCTCGTTTGTGTTCTCATTCACAGCACAGTTATCATTCAGTCATTTTCGTGATATATTCTAGGTTATTAAATCGGACAAATTTGAGGAACAAATGGCGTATGAACCAATTGTTGGTCAGTGGCTACCATGGCACTGCATCTTCTTAAGTTGCTCCGATACCTTTTGGATCAAATCTTAAGGTCGAAGGCTCTGGTAACGGCCTCCTAAAAAAACCACCTGCTTTGGTTTGGGCACCCGGGCAGTATCACAGATAAAAAAAATCATTGACTTGTGTAATGCAGATATATTCGGCACCTGTTATTACCAATATTTATGTGCTCAAATAAATAAATAACATTTGAGATTAGTTCATGATGTAAACACTTGATATCATTATCATTGAAGATTTGGCATCTCCCCATCCAAATAAATTGTACTGAATTGATGTTTATGTTATTGTACATACTGATTCATTCTTCTCACTGCCTTTTCTTTAGGCATGATCTGAACAGTTAAGAAGTTTATTTTATAACTTGGACAAATTTGAGAAAAGTGATTTTAGTTATAAAAGAAAGTTTTCTAAGTTTCTCATTTATACTTACCGTCATTCCGTGACATTTCAGGACGATACCATATATGAGTGGATGCTGATATTCTGCTTAACACAACTAAAGCATTATCCGGTATATGTTCTGTAATAAATGACAAGAGAAGACTATTATAATAAGTTAGTTTAGGTGTGAAGTTCGTTTTTTAATCAAGATAAGAATTTGAGGGTCCTGGATTCGATCACCTGTGCGGTCGTGAAAATATACTACTGAATAGTTCCATACTATTGTGGGACTCCACAGCAGTGCGCATCCACGAACCCGCGAGTGGGACGCTTAACCCCTAGACCATCGGGCTGGCCGGCATCCAATGGTATTAGTATTAACATCAACCAATCCACGAAAATGCGCGACCATCTTCCATTGTGTTGAGGTAGATACCTGCTTCTAGCCGACACAGATTAGCTCCACTAGTCACGGCTTCTCACAAGAACTTTGAGAATTACCTCATGAAGCTAGTCACTAGTGAGCACATGATAATTATCAGTGTAGGGTTGTGAAGATTATAAGGCTTTTGATTGAGATCATGAACTGATTGATGTTAGACCACTATTGAAAACCTGAAAGCAATGGACGGTCGTTTGATCCTATTGTGGGACTCCTCAGCAGTGTGCATCCACGATCCCGATCGCAGGATCACTGAACTAGCATCCAACAATCTTTATGCATAACTCTAATCAAACCTTGATTTTAGTTAATATCAACAATCGCCACAACTCTATACTGATAATTATCATATGGTCACTAGTGGCTAGCTTCGAGAGAAAATCTTTTGAGTTCTAGTGAGAAGCCATGACCAGTGGATTTAATCCGTGTCAGATGTGAGGCAGTTACCCATTGAGGAAACTAGAATACGGTTGTGCAAATTCATGGATTGATTGAAGTGAGACGAAAATATCGTTGGTTGTCTGCTCAGTGGTCTAGAGTTTAGGCGTTCACGCTAGGGACTGAAGGTTCATAGTTCGTGTCTTGAGTGCACGATAGTGTTTGCATACTGCTGAAGGGTCGCATACTAGTACGATACGTAAGTTCAGTGCTTCTAGGTTTTTAACGATCGGTTCATGATCTTAGAGAATTCATCTGGAGAAAATCATCTGTAATTAACTAAAGTAGAAATGAGCGTTTTTAATTTCTCTGTCAAATCGAAAATTACTACGAAAACAATTCAGTAGCAATTAATAGTAGGTGAATTCAGACACTATTCAAACTAACTAAAAACTTGTTGCAAGACCTTCAATCAGCTAAAAGTTTAAGAAAATCATCTCATGCCTGACTTTCATTAAGATGGCTATCCATATCAATTAAATAAGCATGTTACTATTAAGATGCCCAGAAGAACTGACGCAATAACCATTGTTGTGCAACTTACTATTCCTACTTTGTTGGCAGTGGATTACTTCCACTCTTTCCTAATCACAATGACTCTTGGTTTGTTTTTGTACATTTGTTATTTTTCACCTTATGATACAATGTGGTCCACGTCGAGTGTATATTAACAATGTCTGTTTGAAATTTAAGAATAGTAGAGGCTAGTTACTACTCCTGGACTCAAGTCAGGGGCATAGAAAGGAGCTTGTGAATAGTAGATCAATAAGGAACTAATAGCCGGCTCAATGCCAATAGTGCTGCTGATTGATAGTTTAACTGACCAAATCGGAGATACTAAGCTACATACGGTAAATAACAGACCAAATTAGACAAAGGATTCTGATTGGTGACCTGGCATGTGATACTGAACAACGGGTTTGAAGACATGACACTAAAACTCCTTAAAGTATTCGAATAGAGTGACATTATCGATTTTGTGAATATTTAATATGGCGCTTTCATTGAAAGGATAAAAGATTCTTATTGCGAAAACTAAAATCAACTAGGAAACTATTTAATTGTCACGATTACAACTGATAGTTAGAATTAACGAAATCAAGATATTATCATACCTAAGCCACTTGAAATTGGTTGTTTTTGTCTTGGCGGTTTGTGATCTTCTGGACTTCGATATACTGGAACTTGTGTAGGTCTATTTCTTTTCGTAGTTTCAGAGGTTTTACCACGCATTGCTCTATATGGTCGTCTAACAGGTTGATCATGTGCAGAATATGAAGTACCGGGATAACATACCCGACTACTAAAACCAGCCATAATCGCTGTATCCGATTGACTACCTCCATCAATCATTTCTGATGGACGTCGAATATATCCTCTAGATGGTGGACTAACTGGTGATCGAAGTAAACGACCAGAATGTGTTTGTACTGGACTAGTACAAGAGGATCGATCAATTGTAGGTCCATCGGCTAAAATGTATAAAAACAGGAAACAAACTTTTGAAATTTATTCACATAATCTTATCATTTTCTATAGTTTTAAAACAATTCCAAACATACATCTTGATTCGAGATCATGAAAGGCGACTGTTTGAAACACCAGGATCTGAATTTCGTGTTAAATCCAGGCTCATCAACAGTAAGATGAGTCAGAAAGTTTCGAGAGAACTAGTAATATTATCCAATCTCAAGGCCCTATTCTACTCAGTAGTATAGAACAACGCTGTACAGTGATTGTAGCTGACCGAATCCTACTAGTGAACATTTCAATAAAATCTGAGAACCATACAGTAAATCGTTAATTTGCAAAATATCAATCGATTGTCTCAAACTTGACTGTTTCTTTTGCAAATATCCGTTCATTGTCTCAGATTTCATTGTTCGTGCATTTTCAAACCAATTACTTTCCGTTTCTGTCTTTTTCTTATCGATTTTTTTTTACTGAAATACACTTTATTCCTGACAATCATTACATACTAACTCCACCTGGAGTCCCTCCGGGGGCTACTACCGGTCCCAAGCCCGGATAAAGGAGGAGGGTGGGGCATGGGATTAGCGACTTCATCCCGTGGAAAACTAACTCGCTAAAAAAACGCTTACCAGAAAAAATTATTCAAACCTTTTAAACTCTGCCCTGGGAGTCAGAAAGTCTTCATTTAGGAGAGTTATGACACCTCATGATGAAAGCCGAGTTCCTTCATAAGTCACGAGGTCGATGCCCCTTCTGACAACCAGAGCAACCATTTATTTAGGTACATGGAATACTCGTACAATGTGGGAGACCGGGAGAGCCTTCATTATATACTACTTATTAAGATATAAGTAGCTCACACCACAATAGTACAATGTTCAACTTTCATTTAATTGTTATTACAATTGAATAGACATTGACAATAACATTGAACATAGTTTTAAATAATCATTCAGATAATAAGATAAATTCAAATAAGCGGAAATTCAATGATTAAAAGGTTTGATATCTTTCGAATGGTTGTCATCATTTGACAATGAATTGAAAATGGGCTTAAATAAGTAGTATAATTGTTAAAGATGAATTTTTCATTGTTTCTTATTATGGTGAATGAAATCGAAAGGGAGAGACAGAAAGAAAGAAAGAAAGAAGGAAAGAAAGAAAGAGAGAAAGAAAGGGAGTTGAGTAATCAACTGAAGAGACTGAGTATTTGCCAAAGGTTTGAAATTATTAACTAAGATTTGTAATGACAATAAAATAGTCTTGTCATCTAGTTGTATTGTTTGTCAAAATTTCACTTTGATAATGATGAGGTTGTCTAACGAAAAGGAAACATTAAAAACTTTATGGATATGAAAGAAATAGTCATATTTAAAGAATGGACATCAATGATGTCGGTAGTTTATTTTTCAGCTATATTTTAGGCTACCGGTGTTAGGCAAGGTTGCTTACTCTCACCCGTTTTCATTCATCTGGTGATCGACTAAATCGTAAAAACTTCAACATCTGAAAGGAAACACGAAGTGCAATGGACAGTCAAGATGCAACTGGACGATTTAGACTACGCAGATGATCTGGCTCTTCTGTCGCAAATGCAACAACGGAGGCGGGAGAAGACGACCAGTGTAGCAGCAGCCTCAGCGACAGTAGGTCTCAACATACACAAAGGGAAAAGCAAAGTTCTCCGGTACAGCGCATCATGCAACAATCGAACCACACTTGACTGATAAGATTTGGAAGATGTAAAAACCTTTACATATCTGGGCAGCGTCACTGATGAACACTGTGAATCTGATGCAGATGTGAAGGCGCGGATCGGCAAGGCAAGAGCAGCATATCTACAATTGAAGAACATCTTGAATTCAAAACAACTGTCTGTCAACCCACATCAAGGTCAGAATTCTCAATACAAATGTCAAGACAGTTCTATTGTATGGGGTAGAAACTTGGAGAACTACAAAAACCATCATCCAGAAGATACAAGTGCTCATTAACAGTTGTTTATGCAAAATGCTTCTGATCCGTTGTCCAGATACTATTAGCAACAACCTACTGTGGGAGAGAGCAAACCACATCCCAGTGGAGGAAGAAGTGAGGAAGAAGTGCTGGAAGTGGATAGGCCACACATTGATGAAGGCACCCAATTGCATCAGAAGGCAAGCCCTGACTTGGGATCCTCAACGTCAAAGAAAAAGAGAAAGATCAAAGAACACATTACGCCGAGAAATGGAAACAGATATGAGAAGAATGAGTAACAGTTGGATAGAACTAGAAAGGAAAGCCCAGGACAGAGTGGGTTGGGAAATGCTTGGAGTAAGTAAGTAATATTTTAGGCTAAACAATTCTATATTTTGAAGCATTAGTTCAACAGAGATGACAATGTACACAATACATAAATTTTGGTGTCCTGCATGAATATCTGGGCTACCTGTTCCCTGCCATCTAGATATTTCAACAAGTTGCCTACTCTTTGTTTTAACAGATCATTATGTCTATTAGCCTCATAAACAATTCAGGTGCATTTATCAAAAGTTCTCGACCTCTCACTGTACAAGTTACAAAAAAGCCGAATCAGGGACAACGTATTTGCTGACTGTTATAACTTGTGGGCCTTATGCCCCTATCAATATATGACATAATGTTATTACCAATTAGAGAACAGTGGATTATTTACCGGACCAATGACGAGCAAAACCCTCATCGACCGTTCTTCCTGCCTAACCTTGCCCATAGAGTCCAGAACACCAATCTCAGCCTCCGAGATATAAATCATGTATTTCAAACATACTGAGTTTACATACAAACCAAACAGTCAACATCGTGATATGAAATCGAAAATACACATATGTACGAGATCCAGCCAACAGTGGTTGTGAACGTAGGAAACTGTAATGAATAGACCGGGCGTAACTCAAGAACGGGCGATTGTATAATAATAGTCTATAGATTAAAATAAACCTTATGATAAGAGGAACACGAATAAGAATCAATTCCTGAACTGCACAGAGAACACTAAACCAACCACACATGATGGAGAAGCTCTGCAAGATGTGGAATATTTCACATACTTATGATGTATCACCGATCAACAAGGAGGTTTGGATGCAAACGTAAAGGCGAGGATTGGCAAAGTGACGGCCGGATTCTTACAGTTATTGAACATATAGAACTCAACCAATATCAAAGTCACAACCGTTAATATGAATTTCAAGACAGTTAATTCTGCTGTACGGAGCTGAAACTTTGAGGACCACGACAACCATCATCAAAAATGTCCAAGCATTTATAGACAATTGTCTACACAAAATACTCAATGTCCATTGACTGGATACGATCAACAACAAACTACTGTAGAAGAGAACAAACCAACTTTCATATGAAGAGGAAATTGGGAAAAGACGTTGGAAGTGGATAGAACATACATTGAGGAAATCATCACACTGAATCAGAAGACAAGTACTAACTTGGAATCCTGGGTATAAACGGAAAAGAGGAAAATCAAAAAAACAATGTTGGTTGGAGAATGCTAATGGACGGCCTATGCTCCTCCAGAATGAGTGACAGGCTTAAGTAAATAACTAAAATATCACCTCTCATATACATTGTTAAGTAACATAAGGTTACTGTGGAAAGTTAGACCGATAACATCATTATCCAGTAAAAGATAAACTCGACAACTCAGCGACATGAATCAAAGTCTGGAATAGAAAGATCTTTATTTCACTAACGAACGATTAAAATGATAAATTCTTACTACACCCATTTTTATTATGAATGAAGATAATCTGGTCACAGATAGCTGAATGGCAAAGGGTTTTGATAGTCAAAATGATAACAAGTGAAAGTGGTCGACATATTGAATTATTTGTAAACTGAATTCAAACATCTTCATTACTGGATGATCTAACCTTAGTTTTTTTGGTTAGAATGAATCACTTACCGACGGGTTGTCTCGACCATTGCTCGTCATAACTTGAATGTCCCCAGAAATGTCTGCAAAACATGCAAAAAAAAATAAGCAAACTAATTTACAGAGAACGATTCAAACAAAGTGTTTCGTGTTATGTTTCTAAGATTGACACATACATAGAGTAGATAGGTTGTTGCTAGTAGTGATATCCAGGACCTGCATTTTGTCCCATTAAGGACTCATCAGCTACACATACCTGCATCACGAATTCGATGTTCCCTTTGAAATCTGAACCCATTCCCTTTTGCTTCAAACACTCGATGCGTCATCCACTTAACTAGTGAGTCCAGATAGCCGCTCACATGTGTAACAGTCATAAATTCTAGTTCATTTTAGAACGGTTTGGGTTATTATTTTCTTTGCGAATCCCTGGAAAAGAACTGGTTATATATGCCTTCAGAATTTAGGTATTTTTTGACTATGTTAAAGCAGGCTGTCGAACCGGTAAGTGCCAAGATGACTTGTTCAGGATTTGGACCCACATATTATCGACTAAGGATGCTGATGACAAAGCATATTATGAACAATTGAATTGACGCAAACGTAATAAACAATATTCAACATATTGGATTGTTATAAAACCGTTCATCAACAACTTTGGACGTGAGATCAGTCAGATATAATCAATGTGTGTGTGTGTGTGTACGAAGAAACATTATAGATTCACATTATTGGAAAGTTAAAGGATGGAATTCACTTCTTTTTTCTGAGACCATGCCTAAGAAAAGTCAGACAATTGTGAGCTAGGCGAAGAAGTCAATCTGAAGCAGTTATTCTGTTATGTTTGAAGTTAAGATGCAGACGAATCATGTTATTTCGAATGTGCTTGTTCATAGAGAACCAAAGTCAACACTCCATTTGATCCATCAAAAGTATCAAAATAATATGCTGTGCAATAGATGAAGTACAACAGAAAAATATCCACTGAAATCCTAATCAACGTTATGTACCAACGGTATGAAGAGAGTTGTTAAAGTAGATATAGGATCCGTTTACATAGTTATTTGTAGTTGTATAAAGGTCTGAATGGGAATATGATTTAGGATCGTATCAAAGGTTTTCTTTTTTATTGAATGTTCCTTAACCTCAATAAAGAAATGTCCTAGAATTATTCTTATTGGCTAAATCTACTCCAAGTGAGTTTGAAAGTCAGTCAACTCAAGGTAACCAGTGTAATATAACTCAATCTGGTTACTTAACTGTTCTTTCATATCACATATCTTTGATGTATTTATAAATTAGTTGGAACACAATATGGTTGTTGATACTTTATTGTCATGAGTTACATTGATGATGATTGGTTTGGAAGACAGTAGTTTGTTAATTTGTGCCTTGACGATTCTGAACACAATTGTTAGTGGAACATAGATTGAATTAAAGCACGTTCCATGAACAATTGTGTTGCTGCACGCTGATTGGCTAATTTTTAACCAATCAGCGCTAACCGACACCTGAAGAACACCCTAGAGTCTTCTCATATAAAAACTATAATGTTTTTCTTAGTGTGCTTCTTACTTCCATCTAACCTTGTTATTTGGAATATAATCTCTTTCCTGTTCAACCGTGTTCTGATTTGGGAACTTGTCGAGTGAATTGGTGCCCAAGAATAATAAGCAATAGGAATAACTGGTTTATAATAAGAGAGAAATATAACAGTGGCGATGAGGAAAAAGGAAAACAAATTCGGCGAGACTCTAATTTACGGACGACCTTTGAACGGATCTTAAATGACCTTGACAACTATTAGCCAATCAGAAGACAGTTAGTATAAAGTAAAAATATATTCTAAGAAAGTAATGAATTACAATGGATAGTCTTCTTCACTACTCTTCATCGGTACATGGATTGTTGTAGTATTCGGTTGAGCTAGTCATCTGATATGGGCATCTTGAATTTGTGGCGAGACTCTAATTTAGGGACGAACCAATCAGAAGCGTTTGAGCAATTTCAAGGTCACGGAGCCAAGTTCAACACGCGATGCTAACATACGATCGGTTCACAGCGGATTTTAGAGAGGAGGTGATTAATGAGAGGTTACAACAGATGGGATGGCGAGGCTAATTTAGGGACGAGCCAATCAGAAGCGTTTGTGCAATTTCAATCATTAGCCAATCAGAAGGCAGTTGGTATAAAGTGAGAATATATTATAAGAAAGTAATGGATTGCAGTGGATATTCTTCTTTTACATGATTTAAAAACTCGTTAAGGTTTGATATAGGTTCAGAGGTTCTGAATTCATAATGCATATGGCATAGAAACTCGTCCATAGGGTTAGGGTTTAGGGTTAAGGTTAGGTTAGTGTTAGGGTTTAGGGTTAAGGTGCTAATATACGATCGGTTTACAATGGATTTTAGAGAAGGCGTGTTTATTGAGAGGCTACAACCCTAACCCTAACCTAACCCTAAACCCTAACCTTAACCCTAACCCTAAACCGTAACGCTAACCTAACCCTAAACCCTAACCCTATGGACGAGTTTCTATACCGTATGCATTATGAATTCAGAACCTCTGAACCTATATCAAACCTTAACGAGTTTTTAAATCATGTAAAAGAAGACTATCCACTGTAATTCATTACTTTCTTAGAATATATTTTCACTTTATACTAACTGCCTTCTGATTGGCTAATGATTGAAATTGCTCAAACGCTTCTGATTGGCTCGTCCCTAAATTAGAGTCTCGCCACAAATTCAAGATGCCCATATCAGATGACTAGCTCAACCGAATACTACAACAATTCATGTACCAATGAAGAGTAGTGATTTATCTTAAATTCAATAGAAGTACATAATTTGCTTATTATAAAGAGTAAAAGTTGAGAAAATTATACACAGATCTTGATAACCTGACCGGAAAAACTGTAGATAATTGTCAAGTCTACTTAGTAAACGATAACAAATTTTTGTAATCCTTTATGATCAATAATCATCAGGGTAGCATGAGAAGCTGAGATAATGAGGAAAATTTGTAGATCTAGTGAATAGTTCAAATGGAGTTTCGTTTTCAGTAATGGTTAGTTCGATTGTGAAACTCTCATCATCTTCCTGAACAACACCATCAGTATATTCTTCAGGTAAAAGGAAGTTGTTCGAATTTCTTCATATAGTCCTGTCGACTTTCATTTTGATCAGTTACGGTTGATCTTCATTGTCTGTATCACTCATTTTGACCTGGTTCTTTATCTTTTAATTGTCCATGATGTTTTTAGTCAGTTGATGAATTGAGTCAATTTTGACTTGTTCATTGATTACCGATTGAGCTATCTACCAATTCACTGATTTTCTTCATATATCATCTGGCGGAAAGTTTAACAATTTCCTAATAGAATATGTGTTCACAGTTATCTACATGAATTGGATGATATAAGCGAAGATATGTCATGGTATTTGACAGCCAGCTGGTGTTCATTCACATGAAGATATAGAATGTTTTAGCTTGTAGTATTTCTCGCAATTGGAACAGTTAATTTAGTAGATGATGTTCAGTTTTTCTTTTCTCAATTCATCTTTTGTTTGCATAAGATTGACTTCAAACAGTATCAATAATCTCGTTTTAATTTCTGATATGTCATTTATATAAGATAGGATGTTCGGCTTATTGATTTATACACTAAACAAAGTGATTGCTCTCTCTCTATATCCATTAGTAGGTAACTGTCTCATAATCGACTTGATCGAACTCAGACCTCTTGAAACTACCCCCCCCCCCAAATTAAGTAGCCGCTATCAAACAAGTATATGTTTTTTTATCAGTATGGAAAGAATGTGGAGATGGTTACCAGAGTAATTACAGCCTGTTTTAACATAGTTCAATCGAAATATCACATGGTAAAATAGAAAAACAACATGATGATAGGTGTATCTGAGGTTGACTTACGATCTTTTAGCAGGGGACATATAAGTTAATCTTGATTTTGTATATGGTCCTTGAGTTTGATAAATTGTCGGAGATCCAGAAAATGCTCTTCCTCTAGTTGGTCCACCTATTAATGTATTCATGGAAAAATGGTGATGAACATTGGGGGTCAAAACTTATAAGTAAATCTATGTACTGTAAGTAATGCTATGAAGATAGTGAAGCTCTTGACTCACCGTATATACTAGTTTAGTTTTTCGTTATATACATCGTAACTTCTTACTTATAGTTTCATTGATATCTACAAATCTGTGAGTTTTTGAATCAGAAGAAGGATAATAACGGGACGTATTCTGTTTACTGTCGACATTTTCTGATTGGTCATTGAGAATTGATAGAGCTTCTAAACCAAGAGGCTTCAAATTTTTCAGTCAGTATTCATAGTCATTGGGGTTATTAATCAAAGAAATGAACAGTAGTCTAATCGCCTCAAAATGCCCTGGTACGGCCGAGAATGGAGAGAGTCAGTTCTTCTTCTTCTTCTTCAAATGTTCTCACATGGCTTCGTATATGCAGACACTTCCAGTGAAGTTCCAATCACAGACTTCTCACGGCATTACTGTTATATACAAAACTGAGGGGAAGAAAAGCGACTGTCCAGCGCTTTAACCGGGTTGGTCGTTACGGAGGATCCATCTAGGGGAAAACCCTGATTCCAAACCAATAGTGTACATGGGCTCCAGGATCCTGAAGGAACAAATGGCGTACGAATCTATTGTTGGTCACCAGCTGTCATGGGACTGCATCTCCCAACGTTGCTCCACTGTCACGTGGATCAGACCGCTAGATCATTTATACAGTTATTTTATAATTTGAAACAATTTATATTCAGTAGTGACATCATCGACATGAAGTATAATAAAGTAAACTTGTAGCTCAGATGGATGATTTTCGTGAACGTTTCATCTACAAACGTCTTATTGTCCTCTTGAACAACATCGTCAAGCAAGCTAACCATGCAACAACAATAATCAAACAAGATTAATGTATCAACAAGACAAACTGTCAGTCAGTAGGTGACAAATTCGAATAGCCTTCTGTTTCAAATCTATACTTACTTACTTACTTACTTACTTACGCCTGTTACTCCCAATGGAGCATAGGCCGCTGACCAGCATTCTCCAACCCACTCTGTCCTGGGCCTTCTTTTCTAGTTCCATCCAATTCTTGTTCATTTTTCTCATGTCTATCTCCAATTCTCGGCGTAATGTGTTCTTTGGTCTTCCTCTTCTCCTTTGGCCTTGAGGATTCCATGTGAGGGCTTGTCTTGTGACGCAGTTGGGTGCTTTCCTCAATGTGTGTCCTATCCACTTCCAGCGCTTCTTCCTGATTTCTTCCTCCACTGGGATCTGGTTTGTTCTTTCCCATAGTTGGTTGTTGCTAATAGTGTCCGGCCAATGGATCTGAAGTATTTTGCGTAGACAATTGTTAATAAACACCTGTATTTTCTGGATGATGGCTTTCGTAGTTCTCCAGGTTTCTGCCCCATACAGTAGAATTGTCTTGACATTTGTATTGAAAATCCTGACCTTGATGTTGGTTGACAGTTGCTTTGAGTTCCAGATGTTCCTCAGTTGTAAATATGCTGCTCTTGCTTTGCCGATCCGCGCCTTCACATCTGCATCAGATCCACCCTGTTCATCAATGATGCTGCCCAAATATGTAAAGGTTTTAACATCTTCCAAATCTTCTCCGTCAATTGTGATTGGATTGGTGCATGCTGTCTTGTATCGGAGAATCCTGCTTTTCCCTTTGTGTATGTTGAGACCTACTGCTGCTGAGGCTGCTGCCACACTGTTTGTCTTCTCCTGCATCCGTTGTTGCGTTTGGGATAGAAGGGCCAGATCGTCTGCGAAGTCTAGATCATCCAACTGCATCTTAGATGTCCATTGTATCCCGCGCTTCTCTTCAGACGTTGACGTCTTCATGATCCAGTCGATCACCAGGAGAAAGAGAAAGGGTGAGAGTAAGCAACCTTGCCTAACACCGGTCTTCACTTCGAATGACTTTGTCAACTGTCCTCCATGCACAATTTCGCAGTTTAATCCATCATATGAGTTCTGTATGATATTGACTATTTTCTGAGGCACGCCGTAGTGTCGAAGAAGTTTCCATAGTGTTGTTCTGTCCACGCTGTCAAATGCCTTTTCGTAGTCAATGAAGTTGATGTAGAGTGATGAATTCCATTCAATTGATTGTTCCACAATTATCCGTAGAGTTGCAATTTGGTCTGTACACGATCTATCCTTACGGAATCCTGCCTGTTGGTCTCGAAGTTGGGCGTCTACGCAGTCCTTCATCCTGTTCAACAATACCCTGTTGAAGACTTTTCCCGGTATTGAGAGAAGAGTGATGCCCCTGTAGTTATCACACTTGCTGAGATCGCCTTTCTTCGGTATTTTGATCAGTAGTCCTTCTTTCCAGTCTGTTGGTACTTGTTCCTCATCCCAAATCTTATTGAAGAGAATGTGGAGTATCCTTGCAGTTGCCGCTACGTCTGCTTTTAGTGCCTCAGCTGGGATGTTGTCCGGTCCTGCTGCTTTGCCACTCTTGATTTGTCTGATGGCCATGCTGATTTCTTCAATTGTTGGTGGGCCAACATTGATTGGGAGGTCCGTGGGTGCTGCTTCGATGTTGGGTGGGTTCAGTGGAGCTGGTCGATTCAACAGTTCTTTGAAGTGTTCTACCCACCTGTTTTGTTGCTCTTCAATGTTGGTGATTACCTTGCCTGCGTTGCTTTTCACTGGTCGTTCTGGTTTGTGGCGATTTCCAGAGAGTTTCTTTGTCGTGTCATACAATTGTCTCATGTTTCCTTCTCTTGCAGCCTTTTCCGCCGTCGTTGCTAAATCTTCCACATATTTACGTTTGTCGGTTCTGATGCTCCTCTTCACTTGTTTGTTTATTTCCGTGTATTCAGCTTGTGCCTTGGCTTTTTCTGCTCTTGTTCGACAGGTATTGATCGCTGCCTTCTTGTTCCTCCTTTCTTGAATCTTATCCAGTGTACCAACAGTGATCCATTCCTTGTGGTGGTGCTTCTTGTGACCCAGGACCTCATGACATGTTGAAGTGATTGCCTCTTTGATCCCCTTCCAGTTGCTCTCCACAGTAGTTCCTTCTCCATTGAGTAGATCATGAAAGGCCTGGAACTTGTTGCTGAGGACTATCTTGAATTCGTTGAGTTTATTAGTATCCTGGAGAAAGGCCGTATTGAACTTTTGTGATACTGTCTGCCCCGTTGTCCAGTGCTTCTTGAGTTTCAATTTCATCTTGGCGACCAGTAAGTGATGATCTGATGCTATATCAGCTCCTCTCTTGGTTCTCACGTCCTCTATAGTCCTCCTGAACGTTTTGTTGATGCAAATATGGTCGATTTGGTTTTGTGTAGAGTGATCCGGTGAAGTCCATGTGGTTTTGTGTATGCGTTTATGTGGGAATACGGTGCCGCCAATGACCAGCTTATTGAAGGCACATAGATTTGCAAATCTCTCACCATTTTCGTTTCTTTCTCCCAGTCCGTGTCGTCCCATGATGTCTTCATATCCAGTGTTGTCCGTTCCAACCTTGGCGTTGAAATCTCCCATCAGAATGGTCAGGTCCTTTGTTGGGCACTTCTCGACGATTGACTGCAGCCTATTGTAGAATTGATCTTTAGCGTCTTCATTATAGTCGTTGGTAGGCGCATAGCATTGGATGATGTTCATTGAAATGCCCTCTTTCTTTGTTTTGAAGGAGGCTTTGATGATCCTTGGTCCATGAGATTCCCATCCTATAAGCGCATTTTGCGCTTGTTTGGACAGCATCAATGCAACTCCTTGTGTATGTGGTGCATTTTCTTCTTCATGGCCGGAGTATAACAGGAGCTCTCCTGTAGTTAGTCGTTGTTGTCCAACTTGTGTCCAATGTGTTTCACTGATCCCAAGTACCTCTAGGTTGTATCTTCTCATTTCTGCAGCAATCTGGAAGGCTCTTCCGGTGTCCCACATTGTACGAACATTCCATGTACCTAAATAAATGGTTGCTCTGGTTGTCAGAAGGGGCATCGGCCTCGTAACTTCCGAAGGAATTCGGCTTTCATCATGAGGCGTCATAATTCTTCTAAGTGAAGACCTTCTGACTCCCAGGGCAGAGTTTAAAAGGTTTGAATAATTTTTTCTGGTTAGCGTTTTTTTAGCGAGTTAGTTTTCTACGGGATGGGGACGCTAACCCCATGCCCAACCCTCCTCCTTTATCCGGGCTTGGGACCGGTAGTAGCCCCCGGAGGGACTCCAGGCGGAGTTGTTTCAAATCTATGCTACTTAATATTTCACTGATCGAGATCATGAGTCAGTTGAAGCTAGAACACCATGGGAAACTTAAAAGCACTGGACGGCCGTTTCGTTCTAATATGGGACTCCTCAGCGGTGCGAGTCCACGATCCCGCCCCCCGTGAGATTCGAATACAGGACCTATCAGTCTCGCGTCAGGCCGACTAACCAACTAGACCACTGAGTCGGCATTCAACGGTGTTAATGTCTAACTTCAACCAATCCACGAAGTTGCGCCACCGTACATCATTGTCTTCAGTGAGTTGATTTCTCACAACAGACCTGGTTAAACTCCACTGGTCACAACTTCGCACTAGAACCCCAGGAGTATCTCTTAAAGTCAGTCACTAGTGAGCAGATGATTATTATCACGAAGGGTTTTATGAAGATTTTAGAAATTTCAATTGACTCATGATTTCAATCAGTGAAATTTCTAAAACCTCCACAAAACTCCTACTTAATAGTGTCTAACAGGACTATGAAGACTTCACCATTAAATCATCCAGGTCAGGAAAAAGAACTTCACCCCAAAAAACGGATTTCCCAAAGGAGTAATTAACAACTTACTTGTTATTTGATTGGATGCTTCAACTGGAGAATGTACAACTTGTATCCTTGGCTATTAAATTCAATTAAAACAGTTACATTTGTAATATCAAGGTGATTCATTGAAAAAACAAAGTCGTTTTAATGAAATAATGAAAATGAACAAAATAGATTAGTTCATAATATCACTGAATGAATTGAATTACATAAACATTAGTAACTATATTGCATAGGAATAGTGAACATATTCAGACTTAATATTGATAACTATTATGTAATCATTTAAGCAAAGATGGATAGTGGTTAGCAATGGAATCCAGTTTGACTCGCATTTCATCTTATTTGGCATATGTAAGCTGGATGTACCTGCATCTCAGAGTTGTTGTTCACTCTGGGACTCGAACCAAGTACGGTTCGTTTCAAACGACAACGCATTATCCACTTAGCTACTGAGTGCTGATAGCCACTTATTTGTGCAATCGGTTGAAGTTTTAAACTCACTTGGTATTATTTATTTGAATCTTCTCATTGATATAAAGGACTGCAATTGATCAGTCTGTTATTGGCATATGATTATCCTGGATAACGCGATGGCGTTTGAAGTGAACAGCGCTGGGTTCGAGTCCAGGAGTGGACATCAACTCTGGGATTCATGTACATCCAAATAACGTGCACCAGATAAAACGAAATGTGCGGCCTGGATTCCACTGCTAGACACCATCCATCTTTGCTTATAAATTTTGTGAATTAAGGCAATATCGAGGCAATCCCTGCACAGGATGCACATATGCCAATAAGAGACTGATCAATGGCAGTCCTAAATAACAATGAGAAGATACAAGAGAAACAACACTAAGTAAATTTATTATGTAACCATTCACAGTATTATTCTTTTGTGTATGTGTTTCATCCATCTGCTTTGTCGTAAAATTTTTTCACAATAGTTTTCTGGATGAAGATTTACAGAAAGGCAACCTCATTTATAGGTTTGATCATTTCGACTAGTGTTAACTGGAGTAGTACTAGTGTAGTGTGTGCTATTAATGTCGATAGATATAAGTGGTATGTCTTATCAATTGAAAAAGGAATGCCTAGAAGCAGAAGTTTGAGAAAAGAGAAGAGAAGAGAGTGATTGGTATGGAAACGAAGGAACAACAATGAAGTCAGAGACAAATGATGGATATGTTACAAATGAAGTATTTACTGTGTGGTTGACAGGTTTTAAGATACATTTGGTTGTCACCACTGGTGTTCTCATTCATTACACCGGAACTCGAAAAAAAATTTATGAAAAAACTCATGTTTCCTTTAGCTGTAGTAATAAAACCTAAAACATACAAATGAATCAATCACTATCGAGAAAGTAATTTCCAAGGACATGCCTCAAATAGAAAACTGGCCTGTTCTTTATCAATCTTATTATGGTTAGTTTTAATGAATGAAACATCATTTAGTACGTACTAGGCATTAAGTTTTTGAAAAACGTTCATTAGTAAATATAAGAATGAAATCATTGTGATTCTATACATGATGGAGTGGTATTTCATCGCAATCTTGGTTTGGGGGTAGATTTGAAAGTCGAAGTAGGGTTAGGATTGGGATTAAGTCATATTCAGGGTTATAGTTAAGAGTAAGGTTTATGGTTAGTTTTTGATAAAGATCGTGAACCGATTGTTGCTAGACCATGATCGAGAACTTGGAAGCACTGGACGGCCGATTCGTCCTATTGTGAGACTCCTCAGCACTGCGCATCCACGACCCCGCTCGCGAGATTACAACTTAGAACCTTCAGTCTCGCGCGCGAACACTTAATCTACTGGACCACTGAGCCGGCATCCAATGGTGTTAATGTCTAACCTCAACCAATCCACAAAGTCGCGTGACCATTTTCCATTGTACTGAGGTAGACATCTGTCTCTACCCGACACGGATTAGCTCCACTGGTCACGGCTTCTCCCTAGAACTCCGAAAATTTTCTCACGAAGCTAATCACTAGTGAGCACATGATAATTATCAGTATGGGGTTGTAGAGATTGTTAAGTTTTTGATTGAGATCATGAACCGATTGATGTTAGACCACTATTGAAAACCTGGAAGCACTGGACTCGCGCGCGAACGCCCTGGGTTCGAATCCCGCGATCGAGATCATGGATGCGCACCGCTGAGGAGTCCCACAATAGGACGAAACGGCCGTTCAGTGCTTTTAGGTTTTCAATAGTGGTCTAACATCAATCGGTTTATGATCTCAATCAAAAACTTAACAATCTCCACAACCCCTAAAGTGATATTTATGGTTAATGTTAGAAGTTGTGATTCATATAAACTAATTCTGAGCCCTAAGCCTGAACTTTGATCATAAGCTCAAACTATAACGGTGAAGAACATATTGTCAACCTAGAAAAGTTTTGAATTGATGTAACGTCAGATCTCGCACCTTTCCATTAAAGAAAACAACTCAAAGTTTCAAGATATGTGAAAAAGGACTAAAGCAGTTGATGTAACTTTATTCGATTATTTTTTGTAAAATAAGAATTATTATATTACTCTTACTATCCATGAAATATCAATAACATTGTACGATTATTGGAACTTTATTTAAAAACTATATGAGGTTCTTTATAATGATCAATACATATTTCAAAGATGACCAATATGATCTAAGATAAAGCATCTAAGAGTTGAATGAGCAAATGATCATGAGTGTCTTTAATGAATTACTCGCGTATTTTGGAACTATCGAGTGTATACTACTGAGGTTAATCACAGGGAAAGGATTACAGTTCGGTGGATGAATCAGTGAGTTTTCATCGACTGAGGTGGTTGGGATACACTCTCGACCACCAACTACTTCGACGGGGAATGTTATTTAGCGTAGGAGCATACTAAAAAAAAAGATAGGAACGCCCAACATAAGATGTGTCATCAGTCCATGATATTATTGATAATTGAACTAAACTATGTAGACAGCTGAACATTAGTTGATTGGTATTCGAGCGATCAACTTAAGCAATGAATGAAGCTATTGCATAATATGCTAAAGATACATTCTAACATGAGAAGGTCCATTCACTCTTTGTTTTACCATAGATTTTGAGTTCCCAAATCTTCCTATACGATTTTCTCCTTTCTATGCTAAAACGTTTTTTCTACAGCCAATATATTTTAATGTAATAATCTAATCTGACAGCTAGAATCAATGCATATTTATGCCAGGTTCTATGTAGCATTTGGTTAACTAATTCATTACTGATTGAAACTGTTATTCACTAACAGTAGAGTGTAATTGTCACATTGTATATATAGAGAATCGACTCAAGCTAGTGTAATGTCGGTTATTATGTTAAGCCCATATACCTTAGTCTAGGTTTCGGACAGACCATTTCATTCATTCTGCGTGAGTCACATTCTGACCTTGTTATCTATTCGCTTATCAATCTTGACTGTTTTTATATGAGCGCGTAGGTGTGTGTACACTTCTTATCCCTTTACTCATCACATGTCTGTAACCTACTTTTGTGTAACTATACGTATTGATTAACGTTTGATTAAAGGGGAGTTGGCTTGCCCAACATCTCCACTCCGAGTCGTTTCTCTTCTCTCTATTCCATTCGCTTTATATACAAAATATGTGTATTCACAAGTCCATTCTCGTTATTCGACCTATCTAAATCCGTTATTGACTAACGCGATTTAAGTCGATGATTATAGACGAGGATAGGCGATAACAAACATTCATACGATCTAATTGGAGTCAGATCCACGGGCCGCTAAAGTGGAAAGCCCTTTCAACAACATTGTTCGATCTAAACAACGACGAAATAAAGGGCCCCACAGTAGACATATAGAACGTTGCATCTCAACTAACTGATCTAAAGGTAAACTGCTCCTCTCAATATTTGAAGATCTTTGGTTAGATTCATGGGTGATTTCATATTGAAACACTGATTAGAAGTTTTACATTTAGAAGAAAACATCTCTCTATCTACTATGCCTTAATTATCAATATCTCATCAGAGAAGCTATCTAATACTTATATCAACTTCATTCTGTTTATGCGAAATGATAACGAATTACTTTTCCCCGAAAAAGAACCTACCCGTCTTGGAAATAATTCCGAGTCTTCATTTTGTTCACCTAGATTATAGTAATACAAAAGAGAATAAAGATGTGTTTTTTTTAATGTTCATATTGTTTACTAGAGTATGATATTCTATCAGGCTTTACTTTATTTGGGCATGCATATCAATTGAGCAAGACAGTCATGCTTAGAAGCAAACCATTTCATCTATACACATAGACATAGACATACGGGCTCAATCTTACCATATGACATAATAATATCAGATAATGGACTAATATCTCGATATGAATTATCATGTTCATAAGGATGTAAGACAAAATGATATGGATAATATGTGGATTGTAAAGAATAATCAAATTCATGAATACGAGAACGAGGAGGTGGAGTTGGGGGAAGAGTTGTTTTCAATTCGAGATCCATGTATGGAAATGGTAAATTCATTGGTGAAACTGTAAAATAAGTTTTTATTATTTACATCTTTAAACTTGTATCGAGAAGTGATCAATCAGTATTAATCGAATGAAAACAAACCAATAGTGTTCAACTTAATTATTATAGAAATACAACCGATAACCATCAACCAAGTTGTATAGCATGTAATTCAAGCGACACTTAAACATATATTGTATATTTCAATGGTTAAGATCATGAGTCAATTGAAGCTAGACCACTATGGAAAACCTGGAAGCACTGGACGGCTGTTTCGTCCTGCTGTGGGACTCCTTAGCAGCGCGCATCCACGACCTCGTTCCCAGCGAGATTCGAACCCAGGACCTACTGGTTTCGCGCGCGAGCACTTAACCACTAGATCACTGAGCTGGCCGGCATCCAACGGTGTTAATGTCTAACTTCAAATAATCCGCGAAATTGTATATCATATTTTATTTGAACACATAAATATTGGTACAAAGGAGCACCGAATGCATATGTGCTACACAATTCACTTGATTTGTGTGAAGGTTAGGATACTACCAGGATAATCAAATCGAAGCAGGTGGTTTTCTTAGGCGGCCACAATCCGAGCCTTCTACCTAAAGGTCTGATTCACAAGGCAGTGAAGCAACGTTAAGATATACAGTCCCATGGCAGCGGGTGACCAATAATTGGTTCACACGCTGTTTGTCTCCTCAGGATCTTGGAGCCCATGTGCACTATTGATTTGAAATCATAGTTCCCCATTTCCCCTACATTGATCCTCCGTGCCAACCAACCCGATTAAAGCTTCAGACATTCGCTTTTTGTCCTTTCAATTTCGTAAACAACAGTAATACCGCATTTTGGTGAATAACACTGTATAGTAAATAATTATGTAACACTTTGTGTCTGTGAAGCGTAACCTTTAAAAGGGTGCTATATATTTGCACTGGTTGTTAGTGTTTTTATGTCGCTGAACCTGTCAGGTAAGTGATGATCAGATTTAGTAAATATGTGTTTGCAGAACTAATTTGTACATGTTTTTTGTAGTGAGAGTCTATGTTCGATTCCCTCATTAAATACCAGTTCTGTTCAATTACAGGTATGCCTTGCTGATATATTCTAAACAGTTGCAAACTTAGGTGTACGGCATTTCCTCTCGATCAATTATCTGACCTTTATGTTGTTCTGATTGAGAAACTTTTTAAACGCGTAACTTTGACTGATACATCGATTTTGTAATGAATAAATCATATGTACGAATAACTGGTTAGTGGATAGCGAACAATGCAATGTTTCACTGAAATCATGAACGTAGGAGCACTGAACAGTTGTTTCGTCCCATAGTGATGCTCTTCATCAGTGCTCATCCACGATCCCGCACAGGGTAGTTGGTCTCAGATTTCCACAACCCTGTATTGATAATGTCATGTTTGTATAGTTCTATGTTGATCTATATTAAATTACTGATCAGTGAATCTTTTAATTTCATCATAATTAGGACTGTTACCCATATCACCGGTTATATTAATGCAATATCACCTCCTACTCCCCAGACTTAAATTCTCGAAATTTATTTTATCCTTATGTTGATAGACTTTAGGATTATATAGAGACGAGAAGACATAAAACGTCAAAGCGGTTGAAGAGTCTATCTTCCAAGGACTTTCAGGTACAATAATAATAATAATACTGTTACCTGGTATAGTGGGACCAGTGAAAGCTTGACTAGACCCGTCAACCACATGACCAGAACGTTGTTGTTGTCCAACAATACGTAATGGAATATCACCTGCATCTTGTAATCCCATCTCAGAATCCGAGTAGATTCTTCGACTTTCCGGTTTTCTAGATAATCTTTGTTCTAAAATAGCCAATAGAGCTGAATCTTCATCTGTAGGTTGAAAAAAAAGCCAAAATTTCATTTCAAAATATAAATCTATTCAAAAAATAATCGTAATTGAGTAAACGCTTACAATATTAGTTACTAAGTGATTAGACATTGAATGCAATTGGAGGAAAATCAAAGAATGAAAGTTACATACTAGTTCGTACACGTTATCAACGTAATGTATTCCCCCAACGTTTGCTTCCCTGAACATTTTAATCAGCATCGACAAGTGTCGCAGTCTGATAAATTATCAGTGATCTATTCAGTTAGCTCCTAACCCATAAGCAAACAAAGATATCTTCTATAGACTTGTTATTGCTGTCAAGTTCCATGTGCTCATCGAATGTCTTTTTTATTTTCGAATTTTCAATTCACGCTTATAATCACATAGGCCAAAACTTTAGATCTCACAGAGAACATGATATTTTTAATCTTACTTAATTACGCCTGTTACACCATGTGGAAGAGAATAGGCCATGTACCAGTATTCTCCGACCAACTTTGTTCGGGGCAATTCTATCTAGTTGTTATTCAGTATTTTGATGTCTGATTCCAATTCTCGACACAGTGTGTTCTATGGCCTTTCTCTTTTTCGTTTGCATTCAGCATTCCAAGTTACCGCCTGCTTTGTGATGCAGTTTGATATATGTCCTATCTACTTCCATCGTCTTTTCCTAATTTTTTTTTCGACTGGAAGCTGGTTTGTTTTCTTGCACAGTAGACTGTCCCAGATGGTATCCGGTCAATGGACATTGACTATTTTGTGTAGACAATTGTTTATAAATACTTGTACCTTTTTGATGATGGCTGTAGTAGTTCTCCACATTTCAGCTCGGTAATGCCTTGACCCTTGTATTCAAGATTGTGACTTTAATGTTTTTCTGACAGTTGTTTTGAGTTGCACATGTTTTTCAACCGTAGGAATGCTGCATATAGTTTGCCAATCCCTGTCTTTACATGCCCATCAGATCCTCCTTGTTCATCGATGATGCTGTCCAGATACGGGAATGTTTCCACCACTTCCAGAGTTTCCCCATTAAGTGTAACTATGTTGGTATTCTTCATGTTGTATTTGAGGATGTTGATTTTTCCGTTGTGCATGTTCAGGCTTAATGTGCTGAGGCTACTGCTACACTGATTATCTTCACCTACATTTACTTGCGTGTATGGGATAGAAGAGCAAAGTCTCACTTGATTACAATTCAAAGATTCCGATGTATGATTGATCAACTTTGATTTGTTAAGTTTCACTATCAAAGCTAACACAATCTCAGTAGTTGAGATCATGAGTCAATTGAAGCTAGACCACCATGGAAAACCTAAAAGCACTGGATGGCCGTCTCGTCCTATTGTGGTGTTCCTCAGCAGTGCGCATCCGGTGCTTCCACGTTTTCCATGGTGGTCTAGCTTCAATTGACTCATGATCTCAACTATTGAAACTAATACAATCTTCACAAAAACCCCTTCTGACACGAATACAATCAGCTTCGTTAAAGAGGAAGAAGGTATTTGTGAAATCTCAACGAATGAATTTGAAGAAAATGCAACGTTTCGCCTGGCAATCTAGTTCAAGCTTTTTCAAGGATGATATTTCTTTGTCTCACATTAACTTGGAGCCCAAATACAGTGAAACTATTCGATCAAATTTAGACGAAAGTTCTTATTTATTATTCTGGAATCATATCAAATTATCAAAGACAATCTATTTCAGTTTAAACAATCGGATAGTATATCATAATCTCTTACATTAAAAGTGTACCTTCATCTGAAGGTATACGGAACTGTATCTAATAATGAATTATTATAGTGATAATAACTATTGTAAAGATTAATCAATCATGAACTTACCAAGATCTGATCCATAAGCATCACCATACGGATAATGACCACCACTGCCAAGTGGTACTCTTGCTGTATCAGCTAGAAAAAATGTGAAGAACGAAAGGTTTACCAATTAAAACTAGAGATGACATAAATGTTCATTAATTTGATTTGTAATACTTTGAATCAGTACAGTAGCATAATACAGTAACTTAATTGACATTTTACATCAGTTCAATACATTCCAATCCTGCTATGGTTTTCATGTTCGAAAATGATGTAGATCATTCTGTCTTGTTTCTCAATAGGGTTTTGACGCAGAGAAGTGGTGGATCCTCAAAAAGATTTGTGTGACGTTTGGAGTACTGCTTGGACACCCAGACCGAAGCAGGTGGTTTTCTTAGGGGCAACACCCGGAGCCTTTGACCCATAAGACAGTGGAACAGCGTTCAGAGATGCAGTCTCGTGGTAGCCGGTGGCCAATACTAGGTTCGGAAGCCATTGGTTCCCTCAGGATCCTGAAGCACATGTGCACGATTGCTTTGGATTGAGGGTTTTCCAACTCCCTTAGATAGACTCTCCGTATCCGCCCACTCGGTTTAAGCATCGAACAGTCACTTTTCGTCATCTCAATTTCGTAAACAACACCCCTGCCACGAGAAGGCAGTGAGTAGGACTTCTCTGGCAGTGGTTGTGTGCACATGGCCATGTGAGATCATTTGAAGAGGAAGGGCGGACTCTTCCCACTCTCGGAGGTACCAAGGCATTTGGGAGCGTGAAAAAACAGACATTTAGCTTGGTAATTATTAAATGTATGATTTCCTTCTCCTTTATTTATTGCTACTCTGAATTCACTGAATGTGGTTGCAAGTAATTGTGTGAAATTGGTCAGTTTCTAGGGTTTATTCTAAATCTTTGTTTGTGATCATGAATCGAGCATCGGATATGACGTCATCCAATCTGTGTATGGGGTATAAAATCTATCACTAGAATTATTATCGTAGTATATGTAGTATCTCATACAAGAGAGAAAAATATAATAATTCCTGTGTTATAACCGCAAATCATAACTAACCTGACCCAGATCGACCAATTGCATATAAAGGTCTATTACGATTTCTAAGACGTGCATCTTCACTAGTTGATATACGTTTAGTAACTCGACGATAACTTTCTAAAGGTGTTAATCCAGAAGTACCAACAACATTGCCACCACTACCAGTCGTAGAACGTCCAAATTGTTCTAATTTTGAAAGACCAGCTCGTCGATTACGAATATTTTTCAATTCTTCAAATAATTTCCTTTCTTGTTCATTCAACAATGAACGTGTTCTCTGGAGATCAATTCTTCGTCTTTGTTCAGCTTGCCAAGATGGATCATTCAATAAATCAGTTTGTGCAATATCACCAATTAATCCTTAAATGTTGAGTATAAAATAAACAAACATTTTTTGTGTTAGGGGGTAAAGATAGTTTCCAACCAGAAAACTGATATTTTAGAAAAAGAATTGGTGGAAATAGGCTTTACTGACCTAAAGTAGCTCCCCATCGTTTTAGCACGACAATCAGTATGAGGTGATGATTCATGTTGTGTTATGTAGTGTCCGATTCCAATACGGATACAATGAGTTCCGATACATTGGCCCAACCGGCTATTTCAGTAAGAAGAGACCTCAGTATTTGCTAACCGAATTGGAGTGCCCAGGAAATCCAAATATTTTGTTGACTAATCACTCAATGTATCACTTAACCTTATCATGATGAAATCAATCTATATATGATGTAATGTGGTCCATTGTGTTTGTATATTAAAAATGTCTGATTGAAATATAGGTGAAGTAGAGACTGGCTACTACTCCTGGACTCAAGTCGGAGGCATAGAAAGGAGCTTGTGTATAATAGATCAATAGGGGCCTAGCTGTTGGCTCTGGGTTAATAGTGTTGGTAGGGAGTGTAATTGATCAAGTGAGAGACATAAAACTTTAAGAAAATATTCAATGAGAAATAGACCAAATTAGAATTAGGAGTCGGATTGTTGGCTTAACACGTAATATTGTTTAGAGGGTTTCAAGACATAATCCTTATTGACTAGTTTCAAAAGATGATTTTACAGTCACTGACGATCTTCAATAGTAAACGTTTTCTGATTAGCAGTGGAATCCATGACGCACGTTTCGTCCTACTTGGGACTCGTCAGCTGGATGTACCTGCATCTCAGAGTTGTTGTTCACTCTGGGACTCGAACTCAGTACCTTTCGCTTCAAACGACATCGCGTTATCCACTTAGCTAATGAGTATTGACAGCCACCTATTTGTACAATCGGGTGAAGTTTTAAATTCACTTTGTATGGTTTATTTGAATCTTCCGATTGATGTTCAGGACTGCAATTGATCAATCTGTTATTGGCATATGTGCATACTGTGCTTATTGTCTCGATATTGACTGATCAATTACAGTCCCAAAACATCAATAAGAAGATTCAAGTAAACAATACCAAGTGACATTTGTAATTAGTTTCAGCATTTTCTAAAGAAGTAATCAACACCGTGTAGCAGAAAGATAGTTAATTTATCGTACGATGAATACATTCATTTCCTATGATGAACATAAATAATTCAGACCATAGAATCTGAATACAAAAAATCTAAACTTCCAACCTAAGTTTATTCGCTAACGATGAAATGTAACACTTACCGTTTATCGTCGGTGAGCTATAACCTGACTCCTGGTTCCACTAACTCAATCAATCATGATAACTCACTGAAACATCATGAATTCAATCTCAAGCTTAACTACTTATGAATGTACGATATTTAAATAAAATGGCGGTTCCTTGGAGAATGATGATGAAAGAATAAACTATTTAAAACAACACTGAAACCTCCATCAATATCAGCTTAACTCACTGGTGAGTAAATAACAAATATCGAGCTGAATTAAATCCAGAAGTTCATAATTCAGTAACACTATGATGAAATAATTCCATACTTTGGTTAGATTACAAGTTACATTCTTCAAGCGTACATTGATTGGTATCCATTCCATCTCGTATTAAACTAGATTATGATTAAGCATATGCAATGCGGATAGGACACACATTAAGGAAAGCACCCAACTGCGTCACGAGACAAGCCCTCACATGGAATCCTCAAGACCGAAGGAGGAGAGGAAGACCAAAGAACACATTACGCCGGGAAATGGAGATAGACATGAGAAAAATGAACAAGAATTGGATGGAATTAGAAAAGAAGGCCCAGAACATAGTGGGTTGGAGAATGCTGGTCGGCGGCCTATGCTCCATTAGAAGTAACAGGCGTAAGTAAGTAAGTAATATGCAATGCATATCTCAACGTTACCTATAATTTCCATAACTTCAAAAATGTTCTAGTACTTTAATAAATTTTTTGGCACATTTTTTAAACATCTCCAATCATGTTACTTACCCATATTTGATGGACCAGCTAATCTATTTTGTGATGAAAGATAAGATGGTTCCATAGCTGAAGGAATTTGGAAATTCTGTAACAAGTGCTGCTGTTGTTGTTGTTGTTGGGGAAACATTGGTGGTCTTAAATTTGAAAGAAGTAAATTAGAATTTGGCATTAAATTAGGACTATGAAATAGTGTTGGAGGTGGAGCACCAGACAATGATGGTGGTGCAGTTAATGATTCTCCAGTATTATAAGCAACTGATGTAGGAAGTAAAGCTCGTGCAAGATTATTGAAAGCAGATGATGTAGATAAACCAGAAAGACTAAGTGTTGTTAAGGGTTGTATAGCTGGTGTGACCTATTCATAGAAATAAAATGAAAATTTATTATTAAAGCATTTAGAATGAAATCATATATTACACTAGAACGGTAAGTCAATTGAGAGGCAGCATTTGTTCCACGGTTAACTTAATCAGTAAACGTAGCTAATTTGCAAAATATCAATCCATTGTCTCAAATTTGACTGTTCCTTTGGAAATATCAATCTGTTGTCTCAGATTTCATTGTTCATGCATTTTCAGATCAATTGCATTCCGTCTCCGTTCTTTCCTTCCCGATCTTCTACTGAAATACATTCTATGCCTGACCATCGTTTTATATAGTACTTATATGGATATAAGTAATCCACACCATACTACATCAGTATTTAACTTGATCAAGGCTAATTATGCATGTAACTACATTGTTGAGACGCAAACAAACAATCTTGTGATTTTGAAACTATCTTCTAGGAAACAAAGAGGAAATCTGTAATAATCAAGCGTATTTCATTAGGAAAATAACGAAACCTGTAAGTGTATAGTGATTTTAGAAAGGTGACTAGTTTTAGAAGGTCAAGTGCCAATCTCATAATCTTCAGATTGAATACATTTCGCTACATAATCTCATTCATTTGAGACTTCTATCTGGATCCTTTTAATAGTCAGAAATAAATTTGTCATTCTAGGTCCTTCAATGGAATTCTTGATATGGTTGATAGTAACAACTTCTTATTGACTATAAGTCAGTAAGTAGGAAACTGTCAATTCCATGGTATACGATCCATTCCATTAGATATGTTATGACTGAAGTCATTTGGATATCAGTCTTCATATTTCACATACTAAGACTTAATTTCAACACTGATCACTTCAAACAAATACGCATTATCTACGAAGTAATAGACTCATAATAGCTAAACGACTTATTCAATGGGTTCATTATATGTAAGGGTTCTTATTTAAACTATATTTTTCAGCACATCACGTTTTGGTATTCTTTCAAAAAAAGTAATTATATATTTTTTGGTTGAGATCATGAACCGATTGATGTTAGACCACCATTGTGAACCTGGAAGCACTGGACGGCTCACTAGTGACTACCTTCGTGAGAAAATTCTCGGAGTTCTGGTGAGAAGCCGTGACCAATGGAGCTAATCTGTGTTGGGTAGAGACAGATGTCTACCTCAGTACAGTGGAAGATGGTCCCACAACTTCGTGGATTGGTTGAGGTTAGACATTAACACCATTGGATGCCGGCTCAGTGGTCCAGTAGGTTAAGTGTTCGCGCGTGAGACTGAAGGCCCTGGGTTGAAATCCCGCGAGCGGGACTGTGGGTGCGCACTGCTGAGGAGTCTCAGAATAGGACGAAACGGCCGTTCATTGCTTCCAGGTTTTCAATAGTGGTCTAACGTCAGTCGATTCATGATCTCAATCAAAAAAGCTTAATCTCCACAACCCCAAAACTCTTAATTACATTTCAACAAAGGCATACTATACTGACGATCTTGGACGACCTGCTAACCTATCAGAAAACATTTCCTAGTTATATAACTATTAACAATAGAGAAATAAAAATACAGTGGAATAGAAATCATAACATGCAAAATAATCCTTGACGTGTTATATTACTCATCATTGCAAATATTATATCTAGAGTTTAGATTCTTAATATACCGCTTACAACTAGAGCACTCGAACACTTGAATTCCCCACGTTGCAAATGAGAAGACATAACACAAGTGAAAGGAATGTTATTCTAAACAGTGTCAAACATGGTACAAATCTGTCAGGTATTTATAGTTTTTTTAATGAAAACAAAATCACCATTATAGTCATTCAATCCGCATACAGAAAGTTTTAGCATTTATCCAACAGGGAAGCTACACGTCGAGATTCTGGAATATTCTTCCAAAAGATGATTGGATGAAATATCTTCGGCTTTTTCTGAGTTTCTTAGAACTTCCTTAAGTTCACCGGCCGGCCGTCCTCACAGTAAGGAGAGAAATGTTGAGTTTACATACTAGGTGCTGCGTTAGTGTTATGAGGGTTAGGATTATATAACCCTATGAGATTCTTTCATCAACTGACATCAACTACAATGTGACGATGTTTTTGTTAACATAATATTTACGAACTTAAAGAAACTTGAAGTTAAGATTTATAGTCGGCAGTGAGAGTGAGAGAACATTAGTTAACTATACAAACACCCTTGATTATGCACTTTATCATATCAAAATGAGATATTTCTTGTAATCTAGTTTCAGCACTACGCCATATCAAGTATGAAGTCTACCACCGGAACTCTGAGTACAAAAACGATACATTCAACTTTTCATCCTTCCTTAGTCCTAATTCCCTTTAGTAGTATGTTTCGGTCTTGTTTTGCAGTGGTAACAATCATAATAAACCCTGAGAAAATAGTGTTATAATGTCTAAATCTCTTAAATATGAAGATTGATGCAGGATAATATGAATTCATTTCATTTCACTAAAAACTCGTCATCTCCTTACAACTTAGGTAATATTACATCGTCTTGATAAAGTTTTGTTCTCTGAGCTGGATGGTTTGGTTGTAGAGCTTTAACGTTCTTCTGGACGACATCATCAGCACAAACTTCATATAGAAGTGAAGTCTTCTATCTGAAGTTTGTGCTGATGATATCGCTCAGAAAAACAATGAAAGCTCCACAACCAAACCATCAAGCTCAGAGAACAAAACTCCATCAAAATCATCCACCTGAGCTACAAATCTTCTCCACTATCTCAATATTACATCATCAAAATTATCATGGAAATTGATATACGATAGCTTTACGGTGGAGATTAGAAATGACCATGTACATCATGATGTAATGAAGATTGTAAGAAAGTTAATATAATGTGATGACAATATACAAGTTCATTTCTGATTACTTTTGTAATTATGCATTTTAGCTTTGTAATGTTAATACTCAAACGGTTGTCTCTACTTAACTTTTTAAAAGCATCTCTGGATAGCTTGCAAGTTTTGTGGAGAGAGTCTGCTCTTCCTCTCACACGGCCTCACGTATACAGACACTTCCAGAGAAGTCTCAATCACTGACTTTTCACGGCGTTACTGTTGTATACGAAACTCGGAGGAAAAGGCAAATGTTCGACGCTTTAACCGGGTTGGTCGATATGGAGGATCTGTGTAGGAGAGTTGGAAAACCCGTTGGTGAACGTGGGCTCTACGATTCATAAGGAATAAATGGTGTACGAACCTATTGTTGGTCAACAGCTATCATGGGACTGCATCTCTCAACGTTGCTCCACTGACTTATGGACTAGAGCTTTAGATCGCAAGCTTGAAAAGTGGCCTACTGAGAAAACCATTTGCTTCAGTTTAAGCGTCTGAGCAGTATCTCAACCGTCACACTAATCGAATGATGAAGTGTCATGCATACATATTTGGTGCCAAATTGTACAAATGTTTATATGTTTAAATTAATAAAAATAAGTGATATGCTAGGAAAATTAAAGACTATCTGTAATTTTGGTGACTATTCTATTTACATAATCCACATGACATTTAATATTAGCCTAATTACACTGCAGAATGTTCGGTGACGGGGATTCAAATGAAAGTTTCCTACGCTTATATCATTATGCTCTGATAGAGAACATAATCGTAACTACTAAGCGAACTGTACTGGATTTCAGTTCCAGAGTGAACATCAACTCTGAGATCCAGGTACATCCAGCTGACGAGTCCCAAATAGGACGAAACGCGCCTCCTGGATTCCATTGCTAGCCACTATCCATCTTTGCTTAAAAATATAAGTCTTGTTTAGGTAATCAGATAATACGTCAGTACAGCGAGAGGAGATCGATGAGGCATGAAGAATAGAGTAGGGAACTATATCAGCTAGTCATAGATCAAATGATAAATAAGAGATTCTGAAGAGATTATACTATTGGTCTTACTGACTTTCATAGAATCTTTTCTACATCATGATGTACACATTCGTCTGTCAACTTCCATGGTCATTTTGATGATGTAATATTATCTAAATTATAAGAAGCTAATGAGAACCTAGTGAAATGAAATGGTTTCACATTATTCTTCAGCAATCTTTGAATTTTACTCTCGCCAAATTAATCAATGTATGAGAAGAAATCCACTTAGATACCAATATTGACTAAATAACCTACCTGTGGATACATACTCACGCTGGGGATGATTGATGCTTGTGTCTGAGGAATCTGTAATTGTTGTTGCATTGGAGTTTGGTGTTGTTGTTGTTGCTGCTGTTGCTGCTGTTGCTGTAAAATTACACGTTGTAAACTTGCAACCAATGAACTAGGAATAGTAGCGGATGGACGTTGAACAGTTGCATAAAGACTACTATCTATTGGTTGACCTTAAATGTGAAAAATACATGTATGTTTATTATAGACAAATAGGTAAATAGGTAAATACATTCTATGAAATAAATATATCATCTCAATCGATTGGCAATGATTACAATGAATTCCTGGAATTAGTCTGTCTGTTAGTCGAATCTGTTCACTACCATGAAGATGATTAGTTCCTCTAAATGTTTTCGGTACACATGTCCTAATGACTTGGAACTCATATAAAACTAATATCAGGAGTTTGTTATCAATTGCTTTCAACTAATTACTATGAAACAAATCAACATGATATAATAAATGAATAAGACTAAATTTGTAAGCAGAGATGGTAATGGGTAGCAATGGATGATAGAATGCGTATTTCGTCCTATTTGGGACTCGTCAGTTGGGTCCACCTACATTCCAAAATTGATGCTTGTAGCTGAGTGCAATCTTCACAAGATGCGCATATGTCAATAAGAGATCGATCTATTTCAGTTCTAAACATCGACTGGAAGATTTAAACACACAATAGAGAAATGAATCATAGATTCCATTGATTGAATTCACCTAAGACTAATAATTAAACACCATGGTACTTATAACACTAACTAAATAATCATTTCATATTTTACATCTCGAATGGAGGGAACAAAGAGTTTTATGATCCTATTTATTCTATGAGTCAATTAACATTCATCTCTTATCAATACAATAAGTTGGTTCGTTTCAACAATGAGCGGAATTACACCCAGTTTACAGAATAAATCATAAATGAGCTTGAAAGACACTGAATTTCATCAAGTCACTCACAACTAATTCATCGAAGCATAGTTACACACAGATCGTTGAACCTTGATTCAGGGTTTCCTCTCCACTAAATTCAATCGTCAGATGTCTAAATTTGGTTCACGCAGTATTGACTCATTTAGACTACTAGTCACATTGAAAATTCACCGATAGAATTTGACTGGTGTAAAAAGACCAGACAAACATGACATTGTTCACTACTTATTAATCAATTGATGTAAAGATTTCAATCTTACAGAAGATCACTTGTAGTTTGAATGATAATGTTAATGCTTTAGAATATAAATCTGGAAGAAGAGTGTTTCATCCAGATACAACCATCAGTTTCTTCAAGATTGTTGACGAACCTTGCTGATGAGAGAAAGGCTAGTGCAAAACACAGGTCATCACAGAGTTTCTTGTCAACTAACTAACTTCGAAAATGAGCACTTTAGTGTCAGGTAACATGCTACGAATATCTCCCTGCCTAATTGATTCGATATCATCCTATTATTGACAATGTCATGACAACTTACGCAGATATACTTTCAGAATGTCCTCTAATCAAGGTCGAATTGTTTATGCTCATGAGGATTCCGTAAACGGGATGTACACAGATATGCAGTGTCCTCTAGTTTATCCATGATATCAATTCTTGATTGAAAAATTATCTTTAACTTACATATAAGAGATCAACCTTTACTATTCTCTCAATTAAACACAGAGGTTTACTCATTGGGCTTACCTTATTTAGACAACTGTAGAAAAGCACTTGATAGCTGTTCCGTCCTTATATGGAAATTCTTAGCAATGTATCTTCAAATTGAAAATATGCCCTATGAATGGATAATCTTAAATTTTTCAAGCCTGAAACAGCTACCTGATATTTTCTAGTTTTCAATAGTTACCCACCTCACAGATGTGTTCCAAATAGAACCGGTATCAAACAAAAATACCTACTGTCTCCTTTTCTCTTTATTCTGATGATTGATTGGATAATGAAAACCTCCACATCTTAGATGATGCACGGAAAACAGCGAACAGCATGGATGCAACAACATGATTTGGACTTTGCAGATGATCTGTACTTTCCGACCTATACACAACAATAAATTCAAATGAAGCTAAACATAGTGGCAGGAGATCGTGCAGTATTATGTCTCAACTTTAACAAGGTAAAAAGCAAAATCAAGAAATACAACTCAGCGAGCACAAACCATAACACACTTGGTGAAGAAGTTCTGAAGGAGATGGAAGCTTTATATACCTGAGCAACATCACTAATAAACATGGGGAATCTGATGAGAATGTAAACGAAAGGATCGGCAAATCAATAATAGCTCTCCTACAATTAAAGAACATCTGGAACTCAAAAGAACTATCAGCAAAGTCGTAATTTTCATTGCAGACATCAATACAGTTCTGTTGTACGATGCTGAGACTTGGAGGACTATCGAACATATCATCAAAAAGGTACAAGTATTTATAAACAATTGCCTCAGCAAGACACTCAGCGTCCATTGGCCGGATACCATCTGGGACAATCTACTGTGAAAGGCGACAAACCAGCTTCCGACTGACGAAGAAATTAGAACAAATATTGTATAAATCATCAAACTGAGTCACGAGGCAAGCTCCAACTCAGAAGCATCAAGACAAAAAGAGAATAGATAAACCGAAGGAAACATTTCTGCAAGGAATTGAAGACAAACATCAAAAAAGAATGAATAGCAACAATTAGAAAGGAAAGTTGAGAACAAAATAGTCTGAAGAGCATGCTGGTTGGTATCCTCTGCCCTATGAAAAGTTACAAACCATAAATTAATCTAATAGTTGTCTTATATCAATTTGTAATGGAATCCATAAACAATACCAATAGTATCCATACACACCCCTCCATATCACTAATAAACACAAAAATGCATTAATCATGAGATTATAAAATTACGTAATCTTTATTACCAGCTGCATAATCCAAAGTTTGTTGTTGTTGCTGTTGTGGATGGAGTTGTTGACGTTGTTGTTGTTGTTGTAAAAGTTGTTGATGTTGTTGAAGTAATTGTTGATATAAACTTTGTAATTGTGCCAAATTTGATCGATTCATTGAAATTTGCCCACTTGACGATTGATTATGTGTAAGTTGAGTTGATTGTTGAGATTGTTGTTGATATTGTGGTATATCAGAGTACATATTTGCAGTATAATCTGATTGAATTAAACCTTTAGTTAGTAAATTATTATTTTGTGGAACTTTTACTCGAGGACTAAGCAATGCTTGTTGATATAAAGGTATTTGATTTGTACTATGTGAAGCATCTTGAATATTTATCCATTGATTAGAACTTTGTGGACTACGACCACGTATTACTGGATGACTTAATGGATCAGATGTTTGTCGCATTAAGTTCAATCGATTGGGTTTTGATGAATCTGTTTAATAAAAATGAATCTTAATTACTTATTGAATAATTGACTATTAACATTCTTGGAAACTGATCTATGTCTCCAAGTTCACAATAAGACTAGTTGAATATTATCAAAGGCGGTGAAAATCCAGGTTAATATATTGATGTGTCAAGGTGATTGGTTGTTTGCTAAGTCAAACTTGTGGATAGTCTGATAGGCGTTAGATGAATTATATATTCTCCTACCCTTGTTATTATTATTATTGTCGGTTTTTAGTGTGGAGAAATATACTTACGCCCTAGTCAGACTAGTCACGTGTTCTTGATGTAAGTTGTGTTGAAGTCCTGTTACATAAACACCCAGAGAGTACCTAGTGTAGATATTCGTCTAAAGCAAATTAGCATTCCATTAGTGTAGACGAGGAAAACTGAGCGTTCTAACACAAATAGTCTTCTATTCAAATCTAATATCGTTTCGTTAGTGAATGCTTTTTAATTCAATGCCTATTCATTGCTTCCCGTATGTTAACAACTTCTCCAATTCATATTAATCTATCATGATAGCAGTTTAAATGAAGAAAGAAACCAGAACATCAGTGAACGGGTGATATCGATAATTGAAATTCGCCTATGTCAAACTTCATATTCTACAAATGTCTTCATTTCAATTCCTTTTTAGCAATGCAGGATCATCCAGTCAAGGATTCTTCATCTCTAGCCAATTGTTTATAAACCTTCATTATAGATTAAATCAGAGTGCATTTTATAACTGTCTCTTCTAATAGCAAACTATAATGAATATGTCATAAGAAGGATTGAACATTTTCAGAGAACGTTTCTGAATTCGTTAATTCGCTTGCTTTTGTTTACTTGAATCTTCTTATTGTTATTTAGGACTGCAATTGTTCAGTCTCTTGCAGGCATATGTGAATCCTATGCGGACTGCCTCGATTATTGCCTTAGGTCACAAGCTTTTTTTAAGCAAAAATGGATAGTGACTAGCAGTGGGATCTAGGATGCGTGTTTCGTCCTATTAGGGACTCGTCAGTTATATGTACCTGGATCTCAGAGTTGATGTTCACACCAGGACATGAACCCAGCAACGTTTGCTTAAAACGCCATCACGTTATCCACTTAGCTACTGAGTCCTAATAGTCACCTGCTTCTGGCATGATTTCACTTGGTATTGTTTACTTGAATCTTCCAAATGATGTTTAGGACTGCAATTGATCAGTCCATCAAATTCACGATAAAAACATGACAGACAAAAGGGATACTATTGATGATTAACTGTCTAAGTGCCAATATGATTAAATTATAGTCGTTATCAACTAAATTCAAGATGATTTACCAAGTTTCCAGACAAAAAATTATGTCAATAAAACCCCGTAAATAAGACCTATTATACAAACCACCGAAAACTGTTTAATGCTACAAATAAACTTCTCCAACCCTTTTATAATGTATAAAACTGGATTTCGAGATTAGATAGTGGTTGGAGGTAGTCGACAGGAAACCTTGGATCCGGGTTTCGTGCTACTTGGCACTCGTCAGGTGTACCTGTAATCTTGAGGAAACTGGTGCTCCCTGACAGATCCGATCCCGTGTCACCCAGCTTCACAGTCAGAATCGTTACCACGACCGCGACCGACCTCCAGTCAGTAATTATAGAACAGAAAATTAATCAAGTGATGTTAGTGAATTATGATATAAATCACATTAATGAATTGTATCAATCCATATGAGCAATCGTGCATACAGACTCAATTGAGAAAATGCTGAAATTTCAGCTAGAAAACTAAAGAATCCTTATAGACTTGATACTCAGCTCACTCAGGGATCAGTAAGCACATCGAAACCATCAGTATGAAGTTGTGGAGAATATCAAGTTTTGATTGAGATCATGACTTGATTGGCGTTAGACCACCACTGAAAACCTGGAAGCACTAGGTGGGACTCCTCAGCCGTACGCATTTACGATCCTGCTTGCGGGATTTAAACCCAGGACCTTGAGTTTCGCGCACGAACGTTTAACATCTAGATCATTAAGCCAGCATCCGATGGTGTTAATGTCTAACCTCAACCAATCCACAAAATCAGCTTAATTTATCAATCAATTAGAAAAATCATGAAAAAATATATGAAATCAGGTCAAAGGTGAAGTCAATCAAAATAAATGTACAGACATTGACAGAGTAAATGTCAGCAATGATCAATCAAGACCCAGGTTATTAATACAAGTTGTCAGTCACATAGGGAGTGTTCCGAATAGGAAACTTCTACCTGAAGATTGTGCTGGTCGATTTCAGTCAGAACAATCAAAGCTTCACGATCAAACTGACCAGCTCCTTAGTGAACAAACCTCCATCCAAATATGAATCATGACCCCATTTAAACTAGTAAACTAGTAAGATAATAACCAGACAGAAAAGTTTTATCTTAAACAATACGTAAGTACGAAGTGTGTTAAATTTACGATGATGGTTAAGACAATGGATTTAATATATAGTTTTTGGTGTGAATGACAATTCTGTGTGGCTAAAGTTTGGATCATGCAGACGAAAACCTTTCAGAATATTTAACTAGATAATACAAATGGATAAATCTTCTCACTGAACTCTTGAACTGGTTTCTTAAGCACTTCTAGTAACCTCAGGCTACATCTACACAACAACTTCAACATGAGAGAAAAGGTGAGAGTTATGAGAGGAACGCTTGACTCTAAGGTTAGTTTATGTAGAGAAATTTTAGGGTATTTATAACATTTCAGATAGACTTGAGCTTTTGGAAGGTTCTGGAATCCTATTAAACATAACAATAGGATAGGTGTTACTCTTTCTTTTCTAGATGTTTCTGCGAAACTTCTAGTCAATGCTGATTGGATAAAGTGTTTTCTAGTGTTCTCAGGGCCTCTTTGAGCTTTTCTTGAGGAAGGTTTTGGGTGTCTTCAAACATCAATGATGTAAATAGACGGATTTGAGGTCGTTTATGCTTTATCGACCACATGTTGCAGAATAGATCACTAAGTTGATCTTCATTCTTTCTTGTAAAGCCAATTTAAGATATACCAATTGTGTCACTATAACCCTGACCAGAAGTTACTTGTTTTTAATGTCACGAAATTCATAACGTTTTAGTCAACTAACATAACTCGTAAATAAGGTATTTTAAGATGTTTGTATATGATGTGACATCCATGAATGTTGTAACAGTTATACCTTGTACTACCATAATTTTGATAGATGAACAGAAATATTGAGTTGAATAAGTATTCTCCTTGGTAACATTGGTCACCACTGAATGACCAATCAATTATAAGTATCCCACTTCCTTAATGTATTAGTCGTAGTAGTCTTAATAGATCGGTGGTGTACAAAAAATCATGCTACTATCCAATAGTAGCATGCCACATTGATATTCTAGAAATCTCCATCATGTTCTGATTGGATGGAAAATCTTCGGCTTCTTTAGGACTTCTAGAAGCCCCATCGTAGTTCTTGGAAGCCGTCGTAACAGTTATGTCTTAGAATGTGAAGCTGAATGATCTTTGTTCGAATCCCACAAGTAGCAATAAATCTTTCACCTTAGTTCTGAAGTTTTCTATCAATTTCCCTCATCCACTCAAGATTAATTAAGTACCATTTACCGATTTAATTTTGAAATAGTGTAAATGCCTATTCTCAACCGAACTTAGTTAACAAACTACAAATACCCCGCTTGTTACATGAAACTAGTTTTTATCACAGAATTAATTTTCGGAAAGCATTTAACACATGAAGGTTTTCATCTACTCACTGGACGCTATCCAAGATTTTGCTTCTACAACTAGACAAAAGGTGGAACTAATAAAGATTTGAATTTCAACATAGATGGTCCTCAATTTCAACTTATCAATTTTGCAACACCATACAAATTGATTAAACTAAAGCATAAAGATGAACTGATCAGGATTAAGAACGTCGTTTCAAAATTGAAGTGGACAACTGAAACAGAAACGTCGAATATCTATAAGATGGTTGCTAATTACATGATAATAATAACATAATTAAAAGATGAAAGATTCTTTTGGGAACCTACTTTACGCTAATTAGAACACTAAATATTGTTGAGACAAGGTGACTAAGTTAATTCTCAATATATAATGCCCGCAATGTCGAGTCACCTAGACTGGTGGCTACATTGCAACATGATCGATAGCATTCGATCTGCACTCAATAAAGACTTGACACACATGACATTGATCACCACCCACTGATCAATCAGTTGTCAAGGTGACTAAGTATCTGATCATTTTTCGTACATTAAAAAGTTAATGAAACAAATTATAAAGTAATGTACTGTAAAATAGTTACCAAACTTGAAGCAAATATAAATTATGAACCACTGACTGCTTATCCTACAGCCCTATTCTAATCTTAAAGTACAATACATCCTTCAAGGTTCCCTATTTTTTCTGTCTTTTCTCTTGATTCAGTCATGTTCATATCAACACTATACGATTACCCAACATGACTCCTGGAAATAATGTGATTGTGTCATTAGAATCAATGTGTAAAGTCACTGAGACTATAATTTATGTACGACCTTTGAGTAATACTGAAATGATATGGAAACATCCATCTCACTATGGTTCAATGAGGGTTATAGATTAGTGTGAGAATTTAGGAGCCGAAACGGTATTTAGCCAAATGAATGAATGAATTTCGCTTTAAAAACCAAAACCTTCTATTTTAAATCTGATTGGGTTCATCCAGTTTTGCTGGAAAATCTTTCAACTTCGATTACTTTCTTACCTTCGACTTTCATAATTCAAACATGTACAGGATTGTTTCGAGAAGTAGATGCTTTTGACATGTTATGCAATCGTTTAGTGAGAGTAGACTAATAAACACCCAATGATAAATGCAAAAGAAACAATATATTATTTGTAGACTGCCTTCACTAATGATTTCACACTGTTTTAATAACGAATTTCAATAGTTCAGATCATGAGTCGATTGAAGATAGATGACTATGGAAAACCTT